TCCTCCAGCTCCAAGTCACCTGATCCCCAGGGAGGAATGGCATAGGAATATGCCCAGGGTTCTAAAAGCTGCAAGTCAGGGTCAGGGCTGAGGATGGCCTGTGCTGAAGCCCCGCCTCCTGCACCGTGTCCAGCTGAGAACTTGGCCCATGAACCTAGGAAGGTGGCCACTTGCAGGGCAGGAAGGTGTGACACAGCCCTGAGCATTCTCAGTCACTGCTGGGAGTAGTTTGGCTATTGTGGCCTTGAGGGGACGCATTGTGGGGTCTGGTCCCCCCTCCCCCCACCCTCCCCCTTCTCAGGCGCTCTTTGCAGGAGGGGTCACTAACAGTGCAGTGCATGGGCCTGAGGTCTGCACTATCTGGGGCTCTGTGAGCTGACCATCCCTTGCTGACCCTGTGTAGTATGATCCACAGTTATCTCCAGCTGCCTATAGGGAAACTGAGGCCCAAGGCACTGTAAGCCACTTTCCCTGGCAATATCATAGCCAGGATTTGACCTTGAGCTCAAGGTTCACCTTGTCACAGGCCCGGCAAGTAACCAAGCAGGATGATGGCAGGCTCCCTAGGGAGCCCTAGGGCCCCTCCATACCTACCAGCTGGAACACTGGGGATCTCAGCTAGCCTGCCCTGGAGATCCACCTGGGGGGGGGGTCCCTTCCCCCACTGCCTCACCCTGGAGCAGTTTGTCACCCATACCTCAGTTTCCCCATCTGTGCAACAGAGATACAACATTACTTGCCTCCCATCACGGCAGTGGAAGTCACATGGCTGGGCGACCTCCGCTACAGCACTGGGCTGGGAGTCAGCGGCAGATGAAGCGAGCCAGGCTATCTCAAGGGAAGCCTTCTGTGTGGTCTCGGGAGTCCCAGGGTAGAGTTATCTCAGAGCAGGGAGGCTGGGCAACATTTCTCCCAGGGACCAGTGACAGCATGTGGGGTCACATTCTGCCTCCAGACCTCACAGAGCATCACTGCGGGCTGGCTGGCCCCCGCACACCCGAGCTCCAGGGAGCACTTGGCTCCGGGGATGAGCACAGCAGCCATCGCCTCTCCTCGCCCAGCTCCCGCCCTCCTGCCCTCCAGACTCTGAGCAGCAGCAGCTGTGTAGAGCTACATGGCCATCGGGGGCCAGGCTGTTCCCACCCTGAGTCACACCACCTCCCCCTCCCTCCCTGAGTCACACCACCTCTCCCTCCCTGAGTCACACCACCTCCCCCTCCCTCCCTGAGTCACACCACCTCCCCCTCCCTCCCTGAGTCACACCACCTCTCCCTCCCTGAGTCACACCACCTCCCCCTCCCTCCCTGAGTCACACCACCTCCCCCTCCCTCCCTGAGTCACACCACCTCCCCCTCCCTCCCTGAGTCACACCACCTCTCCCTCCCACCCTGAGTCACACCACCTCCCCCTCCCTCCCTGAGTCACACCACCTCTCCCTCCCACCCTGAGTCACACCACCTCCCCTCCCTCCCTGAGTCACACCACCTCCCCCTCCCTCCCTGAGTCACACCACCTCCCCCTCCCTCCCTGAGTCACACCACCTCCCCCTCCCTCCCTGAGTCACACCACCTCCCCCTCCCTCCCTGAGTCACACCACCTCCCCCTCCCTATCTTGTATCCACTTGTGGAGGCTGTGCCGAGGATCAAATCCAGAGCCTCGAACCTGCTGGGCAAGAGCTCTGCTGATGAACAACCTTCAGTGTTGTTTTTCCGTCCCCTGTAGCCAGGATCTTATGTAGCCCAGGCTGGCCTTGAACGGGGTCTTATTAGCCCAGGCTGGCCTTGAACAGGGTCTTATATAGCCCAGGCTGGCCTTGAACAGGGTCTTATATAGCCCAGGCTGGCCTTGAACGGGATCATATGTAGCCCAGGCTGGCCTTGAACGGGATCATATGTAGCCCAGGCTGGCCTTGAACAGGGCCTTATGTATATGTAGCCCAGACTAGCCTTGTTCTGCAGACCCCATCTCCAGAGCGCTGGGATTAGAGGTATGTGCCATCGCTCCTGGTTTACGGGAAGTCAGTGTTGAAACCCTGGGCTCCATGCACTGGAAGACAGCATTATACCAACCCAGCCACATCCCCAGGCTTCCGTTTACTAAGTCTCCCTGGTGGGCCTTGAACTCACAGTCCTCCCGCCCATCTCCAAAGAGGCTGAGTTGGCAGGCCTCACCACCAGGCCCAGCTCAGCGCCTTCATTTGAATCTCCCCACTGAGGCCGCCTGGGAAGTAAGAGCTGGGCACCCCGCCTTCCAGACTCCCCGGGCAGGACACACAGGTCAGCCGCGAGTTCCTCAAGGAGGGCAAAGGGCCGCCCCTGGTCTCTGTGAACAGCGGGTGACAGGCACCCTCTCCGCCTCTGGTGCCATCCTTTGGCCTGGCCTTCTGGACCCCTGGACCACAATCTGGAACTTCCCCGCCCCCATGGCCTCCTCTGCCCGTGTTCTCCCGTGTTTACCTAACTTCCTTGACCCCTGCAAATGCCCAGCGCCTTTTTTCTTCCTTCCTCAAAAACCAGGCCACAATAGAAAGCAATTCCTTGAACTTATTAAAAAATCTAGACTTGTAAATTAATTTGTTCGTGTTGTACAAAGGCAGTGCAGATGGGCTCGTTAGCATGCACACAACAAATAATTAGAGATGAATTTTTAGCCGGCCTGCCTAATGCGCTTGCTGGGTTAATTATGTCAATGTATAATTACACCAGCCCGGGGAGGCATAATGGCACACCCCGCTGAGCAGGCCCGGCCTAATGACAGGCGTGGGGGGGGGGTTGCTGACAGAGAAGAGTCACTGCCAAGTCCCTCACACCTGCTCACCTCAGTGCACACATTGTCCAGCCTTCCGCCACCTCAACAAACAGGAGACAAAGAATAAAACAAGGAGCCACCTTGTTCCGGCCAGACCCGAAGGCGCCCCCGTGCGGGCGTGGTCCTTGTCTAGACTGTATCACGCTCACTGAGAAGGGAGAAGCAAGAGTAGGTGTGATCCCAGCGTCCTTTGCTGGGATGGCGAGATGGACTTACAGAGAGACGAGACTGACCGTGGTGGGACCTCTGAAGGGTCCGCGGGTCAGTTTTGGTGGATGTGGGGATCTCCCTGGAAGGGGAGGATGGGAGCACAGTCTCACTGGCGGCTCCTGGGCAGAGCCTCTGGGGTAAGGACTGGGGCATCATGGAGAAGTCGCAGGGTTTCTGTGTCTAATGCGGCCTCGGGGTCTGCGTTGACCATTTTCTGTGCTCCTCATCACACAACCCCCCTGGGTGCTGCCCCCTGAGGTGAGGCAAGAAGGGGACAGCTGCTTGTCAAAGCCACACGGCGATCCTGAGAACCAGGGTGATCCTGAGAACCAGGGTGATCCTGAGAACCAGGGCGGTCCTGAGAACCAGGGCGGCGAGTCAGGGGGAATGAGAAGGGACTAGGACCAGGGCGCGTCCATGAGCCCTGCGTGCGCCTGCTGAGGCTGTGACTGCCCACATTCGTGAGACCCCGCCCCAGTGTCACACCACCTGACTCCCCAGCCTCAGCTTTTTTTTTTCCCATATGACAATGGGTTGGATTCAAGCTAGCTACAGGGAGGAGGACTGTGGTTGCCACACGGTGTCTTTCCCCTTAACCTCTTGAGTGTGTCGGGTGTAAAGGCAAGGCTCACATCGGAGAGCGGGCTTTCTTCTACTTAATTGGTGCGTGTCGCGTAGCACACAGTGTGTCCACCCAGGGGTGATTGGTGCATGTCATAGCCCACAGTGTGTCCACCCAGGGGTGAGAGCGCTACTGGAAACGGGGAGTGAGGGGCTCCAGGAAGAGTGGGTGAGCCACAGAACTGATGGTCAGTTTGACCGCAAGGGGCTGGAAAGGCAGGAACCCGGTCCGCACTCAGATTGGCCGCCTCAGCGTTTCCGGTGCCTGGTGTAGTCACTTTTCGGGGCCCCTTTGTGAGTCCAGCCATAATAATAGCAGTCAGTTACATGCATGATAGGGGGAGCTCCCTCGGAAATACAAGTATCCTAGAAGACTCGGAGGGGCCTCCCGTGTTGCATGCAGCAGTCAGCCTTGGTGCTGGAGAAGGAGCTGAGAACTTTACACTCTCAGTCACAGGCAGGAGGCAGAGAACAGGGCAGGGCCTGGCAGCTGGGTGTGGTGTCATGCACCTTTAATCCCGGTCTTCGGGAGGCAGAGGCAGGCAGATCCCACTTCTGACACCAGATGTGACAGGAATCAATGCATTGTGGAAACTAATATATGTATCTACCAGAGAAAGAACTTACACACAAGCTGGGGAGATCAGAAGCGTGGCCCGCCTCCAAGAGAGAGAGCTTTTCCTTTCCCTTTCTTTTTATATCCTCACCTGCTCCACGTACCCCGGTGTGGACAGTATTGTGGGCTCGCCCCTACAGAAGAACTCTGTGAGTTTGAGGCCAGCCTGGTTTACACAGCAAGTTCCAGGACAACCAAGAATACATAGCAATGCCCCATATCAAAACAAAACAAAAATAAATAACAAACAAATAAATGATAGATAGGTTGGGCCTGGCATGGGCTTTTGAGACCTCAAAGTCCATGCCCACTGACAGACCTCAACAAGGCCACACCTCCTGATCCTTCCCAAGTAGTTCCGATAACTGGGAACCACACATTTAAACATATGACCTGTGAGGACCGTTCTCATTCAGACCACCACAGATGGCTCAGCATACTGTTCCTGCAGAGGACCCAAGTTAGTTTCCCAGCACCGTCTGTCGTAAGGTGGCTCACAACCACCTGTAACTCCAACTCCGGGGCATCTGACGCCTCAGGCCACCCACACTCAGGTGCACGTAAGCCCCCCCCACCCCCCACACACATACAAACAACTTAAAAATATGTTTTCAATCTTTAAAATCAATCTCTGTTTTCCGTGACCATCAGAGTGATTCAGAGTGGCTCTTACATACTTTGCCCCAGCTTTCCGTGGATGATCCTGACCCCCGACTCTCATCTGCCCCCTTTCTCTCCCTGCAGACGCTGTTCCTTCATTTGAGGTGGCGCGGACTCTGGACGACAGACTGCAGCGCCCCAGCTTTGGCCCCAGTGGGCAGCGCCTGCAGGACGTGCACATCCCTTGGAAGAGGTGCCCCGAGCCACCCAGCGTCAGAGGTACCGAGGATGCCACCATGGGGTCATGGTGGGGCAAGCCTGCATGTTGGAGTTTCAGCCAAACCCGAGCACACCTGGGGGCTGTGCGGCGGGAGACGCACTCCCTGCCTCGAGTGACAGTAGGTTATGGTGGCGGGGCTGCAGAATCTGAGATCTTAGGCCCTATCACCTTGTACATATGGGCATGCAGTCAGAGCAGTGCTGACCACCACGAATGAGCATTCCAGCCCTCAGGAGGCTGAGACCAAAGACCAGCCTGAGCTACGCAGACCCTGTCTCAAAGAAAAGAAACAAAACCAAACAGACAAACAAAAATGTGTAAACTGATGACATGACCACTCTGTGGTGTGGTTAAGGGGAGGTTTTGTTGTAGACAAGAGAGAGGGCAGCCAGAGGCAACTAGAAGAGTCCTGAGCAGAGAGAGAGAGAGAAAGGAGTCAGACTGGAGCCAGCCACGAGAAGCAGGAGCAGAGCATAGGGAGAGCGAGACAGAGACAGCAAGGACAGAGGGAGAGAGGGAGGGAGGGAGGGAGGGAGGGAGGGAGGGAGGGAGGGAGGGAGGGAGGGAGGAGGGAGGGAGGGAGGGAGGGAGGGAAATGGTGTTGTTGACCACTGAGCCATCCCTCCAGCTTTGGCCTGTCAAGCTTGATATCGCCTCTGAAGGTTCTGCTGTATTTGCCCCAGTTCTTCCAGTTTCCCTTTTGCAAGGTGGAGGTATTAAAAACATCAGAGGAGGCCCGAGTGCTTAAAAACAGAGCAGGGTACTTTGCTAAAAGGAGTCTACGGTAGAGCTTAAGTCTACTCATGTAGAATAGAATCTTCTATAGTCCGGGCTGGCTCTTAAGTTGATCTGTAGCTGAGGATGACCTTGAGTTCCTGGTTCTTCCTGTCTCTATCACAGGTGTACACCACCACACCGGGCTATGATCTCTTTTCTCAAGCCCATAACTATAAGCAATTGGGGAAGGAAAGGGTTACACTTCTGTATCACAGTTCATCACTGAAGGAAGTCAGCACAGGGACTCAAGCAGGGCAGGAACCTGGAGGCAGGAGATGGTGCAGAGACCATGGAGGGTGCTGCTCACTGGTTTGCTCCCCATGGCTTGCTCAGTCTGCTTTTCTATAGAACCCAGGACCACCAGCCCAGGGATGGCACCACCCACCATGGGCTGGGCCCTCCCCATCACTCACTAATTAAGAAAATGCCCTACTGGCCTGTCTACAGCCCTCTATTATGCAAGTATTTTCCTGATTGAGGTTCCCTCCTCTCAGATGGCTCTAGCCTGTGTCAAGTTGACATAAAAGCAGCCAGCACACTTTGTGAGCATGCCAGCCCAGAAGCCAGTGGGCCCCAGTGCCCCACCCCCACTCTCTCTAATGAAAATTGAGGGACTGATCCCATGGGTCCTGTGGCCTGTGGGAAGCTTCCGTGACTGCAGCTAAGTGATGAGTGTGGTCCTCCCTGTCTTCCGCAGAGCAGAACGAGGGGACGTGTCCCACTGGGCACACGCCAGCCAACGGCAGCCACCTGCCGGGTCCCCCTCACACCCTCCTGACAGACACCTTGCTGCAGAAGGATGAGGCCGAGAGACAGAAGTGAGGAGGGAAGGAGGGAAGGAGGGAGGGGGGAGGGAGGGAGGGGGGAGGGAGGGCCACCCAGGAAGTCCACCTGGGGCAGTTAGGGCAGGTGGGAGAAGGGGAAGGATGAGGGACTCTGAGGCTGAGCCTAGGACTTTTATCTCACTCTTCAAGCCTCAGTTACCCTGTCTGGGGAATGGGCTAGTCTGGGTATATTCATCAGTCTTATCCAGAAAGAAATATCAGGGGTTTTTTTTGTGTGAGTTGATACACACACACACACTTTGTGTGAGTTGATACACACACACACACACACATATACATACATTCATACACACACACACATACATGTAGACTTGTATCTGGAGTCTTTGGTCACATGGTCATGGGGCTCTTCTCAATTGTGGCAGCAGTAGAACCCAGGCACAGCTCCTGTTCTCTGGGAACAGCATTGTTTTCCTTACCTTACTCTTAAAACCGTCGACGGTTAGACGAGGCCCACCCGCCTTGGCTAGGGCCTGCCCCTGATGCAGCATTGGCGGAAGCAGACAGCAGTCTCACCTAGAGAGTCTGCGTGCCTACCTGGCACACAGTTGAGCTGGCCAGGAGGAAGAAGTAGACAGTAAGACGGTGAAGGAAAGTCTAGCACGAGGGAGGAGATACGATGGGACGGCCTTTCTAGGGCACTGGGGGGGCACGGGGGGAGAAAGCCCTTGGTCAGTGAGACCCCTCAGATGTAGATGGAAGGATGTGGCAGGCCAAGAGAACAGCCAGGGCAAAGGCTCTGAGGTGGGAGCCTGCCTGGGCAGGAAGGAGGTGAGAGTTTCCAGAGTGATGCCGGAGTTCCAGGACCCGTCCCCAGTTAGCAGAGAGACAGCGGCTAGCATCCGCCCCAGCTCTGCATGTGTAACCTTCCGCCAGTCCCACTTGGGCGCTCTCTCTCCACTGCCAGGGCCAGGTCCCACCTAAGACAGGCCTCGGTGGGCTGGCTGAGCATCCGAGCTCCTGCCACAGGCAGCAGAGCGGCCCTGCGGGACAGGAGTGAAACCGGGAAGGCTGCGGCTGACACTGCAGGCCCCACAACGCCCCCCCGTGGTAGAGCCCATGAGGCGCTCTGTTTCATAGATAAGTGTAGGCAATCTTCCTGTCCCAAGAGAGGCTTACCAATTAGTTGTAAATGCTCGGCCAATAGCTCAGGCTTGTTACTAGCTAGCTCTTTTTTTTTTTTTTTTTTTTTTTTTTTTTTTTTTGGTTTTTCGAGACAGGGTTTCTCTGTGGCTTTGGAGGCTGTCCTGGAACTCGCTCTGTAGACCAGGCTGGCCTCGAACTCACAAAGATCTGCCTGCCTCTGCCTCCCGAGTGCTAGGATTAAAGGCGTGCGCCACCAACGCCCGGCACTAGCTAGCTCTTACATTTTAAGTTAACCCATATTACTTATTTGTGCTCTGACACATGGCGGTACCTTTATTAGCATGGCATGTCCATCTCCTGCTCCCTCTGCATCTGGCTGGTGACTCCCGACCCCGCCCTTCCTCATCCCATCATCCTCAGTTTGGCGTTCCCACCTAACTGTACCCTGTTCAGGTATTGGCCAGTCAGCTTGCTTATTAAACCAATCACAGCAACATAGATTCTCGCAGTGTAAAGGAATATTCCGCAGCAGATAAGGAAACCGAGGCCCAGGGTATCAGTGCCAGCCACAGGGTTGTGGAGCGGGTTGCGGAAATAGTGGACACACCAGGTCTGAATTCTTCATAGAACGCGGTGCAGACAGTGGAGAGGGCCTAGCACAGGGTGGGACCAGGTCGCTCCCTGCAACCAACCATGTCTCCGCAGGGGCCTCCAAGAAGTCCACGTCACCTTGGCAGCCAGGCTGGGGGAGGCAGAGGAGAAAATCAAGGTGTTACATTCAGGTATGACCCTGGCTCAGGTGGCAGCCCTCAGACCAGGTGCCTGGAAGCAGTCTGGAGGTCGAGCCATGAACTTGGGGAGTTGGGTTGGGTGTGCCTAGAGACAGAAGGGAATCCAGAAGTGGGGTGTAGAGAACAACTCACCCAGCAGGGGCCCGTCCAAAGCAGAGCTCGATGGAACCACACGGGTGACTGAGCGTGAGCACACGGGCGACTCTCCCACAGTGAGCCTGAGCGTGCACAGAGCGGGAGAGGAAGTGGCAGAGATGATGTCTAGGGCACCTGGTGGAGCCAGGCTGCCCGGAAGGTGACTACTGCCCTGGGCTACCAGGCAGGGTCTGGCGGCCTAGAGTGAGTAGCCTACCCTTTAGATCTCTGGGTGTAACTGGCAGGAAGCTGAGACAGGATTAGGGCTAGCCTGAGCTACATAGTGAGTTGCAAGCCAACCTTAGACATACTGTGAAACTCTGTCTCTAAAAACCAAAGCAGCCAGGCGTTGGTGGCGCACGCCTTTAATCCCAGCACTAGGGAGGCAGAGGCAGGTGGATCTCTGTGAGTTCAAGGCCAGCCTGGTCTACAGAGCGAGTTCCAGGACAGCCTCCAAAACAATACAGAGAAACCCTGTCTAGAAAAAAAACCAAAAAATAAATAAAAACCAAAGCAAAGAAAAACAAGACCAAAAATAAATAAATAAATATTTTTTTTAAAAACTGGGATTTTTCTGTAAGTCTCCCAGTGTCAGCCACAGACTGGAGTTCCTGGCTTTTCCAGCAAGGCTGGCCTCAGGGTTGGTGTAGTAGCCCTACCCAAACCTACAGGGCAGTAGACAGCCCCACTAAGCCACCGTTTTCTGCACCTCTCAAGCTGTAACACAGTGACTGTCAGCCTTCCTCATGTGTGACCCTTTAATAGTTTCTCATGTTGTGGTGACCCCCAACCGTAAGATTATTTTCATTGTTACTTCATAGCTGTAATCTTGCTACATATAATGAATCATAATGTAATTATCTGATATGCGACCCCTGTAAAAGGGCCACTCGACCCACAAAGGGTTCCTGACCCACAGGTTGGGAACCCGCCCTCACCTGCCCCGGACAGGAGCGTCCCCACCTTGCCAGCTCGTCAATCCCTTTCCCACCCAGACTGCCTTCCAGTGTGTATGGGGGAGGGGGAGGGGAAGGGGAGGGGGAGGAAGCTGCTCAGCTGCTGCTCCTCACTGGTCTTCATCTCTCTCCTCCCAGCGTTAAAGGCCACACAGACGGAGCTGCTGGAGCTGAGGAGGAAATACGATGAGGAGGCTGCATCCAAGTAAGTGAGCTGGGGGCTCCTTCTCCCTGTACACACACACACACACACACACACACACATGCACACACATACATGCAAACACACACACACACAGAGTGAGCTGGGGGCTCCTTCTCCCTGTATACACACACACACACAAAGTAAGCTGGGGGCTCCTCCCTGTACACACACACACACACACACTCACACACACACACAGAGTGAGCTGGGGGCTCCTTCTCCCTGTCACACACACACACACACACACACACACACATGCACATACATACATGCAAACACACACACACACACAAAGTAAGCTGGGGGCTCCTCCCTGTACACACACACACACTCACACACACACACAAAGTAAGCTGGGGGCTCCTTCTCCCTGTACACACACACACACGCACACACATACACACATGCACATACATACATGCAGACACACACATACACACACAGAGTGAACTGGGGGCTCCTTCTCCCTGTACACACACACACACACACACACACACACAGAGTGAACTGGGGGCTCTTTCTCCCTGTACACACACACACACACACACAGAGTGAACTGGGGGCTCCTTCTCCCTGTACATACACACACACACACACATGCACACACACACAAAGTGAGCTGGGGACACCTTCACCCTCTGTTCATACACACACACACACACACAAACATTCACACAGAGTGAGCTGGGGGCTCTTTCTCCCTGTACACACACACACACATACACATGCACACACACACACACAAAGTGAGCTGGGGACACCTTCACCCTCTGTTCATACACACACACACACACACACACACACACACACACACTGAGCTGGGGATGCTGTCTCCCTCTGAATACACACACACACACACACACACTCAGGTGTGGCTCAGGCAGACAGCCTCTGGGTAACACTCGAGTGCACCTTGGGCAGTAGGGACAGTTGGTGACGAGAAGACCTGGAGCGTGTATGCAGCACAGGTGTGACCCACGGTGTCCCCAGCTCCCAGAGTCCCACCGAGCTAGGCGGACCTGTCCTGGGCCCTCGGTGTCACGGTGTGGAGGAAGTGGTACCACAGTAGACCCTTGACCCCCTTAGGGAGTCACAGCAGGCCTCCTGTGGAGGAACTGATTCCTAGGGGTAAGGGCACCCAGTAGAGGTGCAATGGGGGACAGCTCCGGTGGTGGCTCCCTAGAGACTGGAGGCTGCCTTCGAGAGGAGTTTTGAGGCCCAGCAGTCCGGGTTCTTTTCTTCCCAGTCCGTTTTCTCTGGTGGGGAGTGTGGGGTGCAGCCTTATGGCCCCGGGGCAGAGGCTGACAGCTTGTCTTACGGCCCCATTCCTTGTGTTTTAGGGCAGACGAGGTTGGCCTGATCATGACGAACCTGGAGAAAGCCAACCAGGTGAGCAGTAAGCCAGAGCCTCAGAGGGTGGGGTAGAGGGCAGGGCAGACGGAGAAGGGCGGGGAGCAGGGATATATGGGCCCCAGCTCTCTGACCTTGCCAAGCTCCGCAGAGCCACAGCTGAGGCAGGCCAGGAAGGGCCTACAACTCCTTCAAGGACATCCCCATGATCAGCAGGCCTGTCCTGCGGTAGGGCACGTGGTCATTTTCCTCCGGTCACTGCAGGAGGCCCTGTGACAGGGGACCCTTGCTGGTTTTCAGAGCCTGCCAGCAGAGTCCCTCAGAACAAATGTTCTAAGGCCAGTTCCTATGAGTACAATGCAGGCTTCCGATGCCTCTTGAGCCTCAGCTGTAGCCACCACGGGAGCAGTGGCCCCTGGGAGGCAGGACCAGGGTGACAGTGTCTTTCCTGAGTTCAGCTCCCGTGGTTCGTTGGTTGGATTTTTTTGTGTGTTTTGAGGCAGGATCTGCTGTATCCCAGGCTGGCCTTGAACCGCCAGTGTAGCCAAGGATGACCTTGAACTCCTGGTCCTCCTGTCTCCACCTCCCCCGTGCTAGGATTACAGGTGTGTGCCGCCATCTCCAATTTATGCTTTCTATAAACTATGCTGGGGGTTGGAGCCCAACGCTTCCTGTGTGCGGAGCAAACACAGCCAACAGAGCCACACCTTCAGCCAGCTCCTGTGTGGGGTTTGATGGTTTTGTTGTTGTTCTCTCTCTCTCTCTCTCTCTCTCTCTCTCTCTCTCTCTCTCTCTCTCTCTCTCTGTGTGTGTGTGTGTGTGTGTGTGTGTGTGTGTGTGTGTGTGTGTGCATGTAACAGCTCTGGCTGGTCACTATGTAGGCCAGACTGTTCTGGAACTCACAGAGATCCACCTGTCTCTGTCTCCCGGGCACTGAATCTTTGAACTATGTGCACGAACGACCTCATTAGACCTACAAGGGCCAGGTGGTGGTGGCGCACGCCTTTAATCCCAGCACTTGGGAGGCAGAGGCAGGTGGATCTCTGTGAGTTCGAGACCAGCCTGGTCTACAAGAGCTAATTCCAGGACAGTCTGCAAAACCACAGAGAAACCCTGCCTTGAACCCCACCCCACAAAAAAAAGGACAGGCAGTGGGTTACAGATTGCTGACTCTGCTCTACACAGGCCACTATGTGGGACTGTTTACAATTAATGCCCACCTGTCACTCCTCCCAACCAACACCTTCACAATTAACCTCGCAGACGCCATCTCACAAATGCATGAGCTGACAGGTGTCACTGGTTCCACTAGCCAAAAGTGGGATTACTGGGCAAGGGGGTCTATGCTTTCAGGACACGGCAAATGGAGCCACACTGGTCCCCCCACCCCCTTTGCAGGGACCAGTCTGGTTGCCTGATGATGAAGCCAGTACCATGCGTCCAAACCTTCAGGTCTTTGCCAATGGCATGGGCTTCAGAAAAGAGGTCATAGCTCGGTGTGGTGGTGTACACCTGTGATAGAGACAGGAAGAACCAGGAACTCAAGGTCATCCTCAGCTACAGATCAACTTAAGAGCCAGCCCGGACTGTAGAAGATTCTATTCTACATGAGTAGACTTAAGCTCTACTGTAGACTCCTTTTAGCAAAGTACCCTGCTCTGTTTTTAATACCTCGACCTTGCAAAAGGGAAACTGAGGCCTCAGAAGGCCAAGTGGTTCTCCCAGAGGCCTATCACAGCCTATGAACTGGGGTCCCCTCTGCAGATGCCCCCGTTGGGGCACAGTCTAGACTCGGTGTCTTTGAACAGACGTAGACCTGAGTATATGACAGAACCACCTGGGAATGGGTGCAGGCAACCCCTTTCTGCCCTTCCCTCCCTGGCAGAAGGAGTGTTCTCACTTTTGGGGTCCCAGGCACCCCAGAATCATCTAGAGATGCCACTGGAAACCTCTGCTCTGTAATACCATCTCAACAGGAGAGGACAGGAGAGGGGAGAAGAGGAGAGGGGAGGAGAGGAGAGGGGAGGGGAGGGGAGGGAGGAGGAGAGGAGAGGAGAGGAGAGGAGAGGAGAGGAGAGGAGAGGAGAGGAGAGGAGAGGAGAGGAGAGGAGAGGAGAAGCTCTTCTTTATTATGTTCAGCTACGAGCTCAGTGACAGTGGTGACAGGCTTCCTAGGTCCTGGCCTGGGTTCAGGACCGATAACGAGGGGACCTAGATCCTCGAAGTCCCAGGATGGTGCAGGTATAGGGGTCCTTGTGCCCTTTGGGCTCTCACTTGCTGCCCTCTTCCCCTCCCCAGCGAGCAGAGGCTGCCCAGCGGGAGGTGGAGAGCCTGCGGGAGCAGCTGGCGTCTGTCAACAGCTCCATCGGCCTGGCTTGCTGTCCCGGGCAGGGATCCAGCGGGGTAAGGACTGAAGAGGGAAAGATCTGAGAAGACCACATCTCTGCACACAGGGGAAGCGGGTGGCACTGGGAGGGGGCTGTGGGGGTGAGCAGGGATGCACAGAGGACACTGTTAAGGTCAGCCTTGTAAAAACAAATGGTAACTGCAACCTGTTGTACCAGCAAGGGAACACTGTGGCCACCACTGTAAACGTTCAAGCCTCCACTGACTCCTGTTTAACAAAAAGCCTAAGTGTCCTTTGGATGTTTCCCTCACCTTGCCTGGGAATGCTGGAATTGTTCAGAGGCTAGAGAGGGCCACACCCACTGCAAGATGTGTGCCTCGATTCGGTCGAGGTGGCTGAGACGCAGTGTGGACGGTGGCCGTCAGGAGGTGCTGTTGAGCTTTGGTCTCGTATTGCCTGGTGGCTGCTTAGGACCCTGTGGCTCTGCTAGAAGACTTAGGCTTGCACTCAGCTCTTAAGTCCTAAAGCTTAAAGGTGACTCCCGAGGGAACTGCTCCTCCCGCCAGCCACATGCTATACAGAGCCCATCTCAGTTGTCAGCCCCGAGGTCCCTGAACAAGGTCAATCCACCTTTCCCCCTATTCCCCTTCCCAGCACCTCCTAGGGTCCTGGGGTCATTGCCTGCCTAAAGATTTTAGTCGCCACCCACCATTCTGCCCTTGGATCCTCTCCTGTCTGCCTCCTTCCCGTGTTTCTGCATGCCAAGTGGTTAGAGTCACAGTTCCTTACATGATCACAAGGGATCATGTAATACTTGGGCACGTATGTTATAGCACTCCTTCAGTGTGTACATTGGATGGTGTCTTTGTCTATAGCGGTGTCTGTGTGTGTGCACAGGCTGACCGGGCCTCAGTTTCCTCCCCTGTCTTCACCTATCTTACAGGAGTATAGAAAGGACGGCTTGGCTCACAGAAGATGCTGGAAAATAGCCAGTGCTTCTTTCTGACTGATAGCTAGCTCATGTCTTTGGTGCCTCTGCTCATCCATGTGCACATCTGGGATGACATATATCAGTGACTATGGGTCTTTGATGCAAGAAGTTTGCTCTGTGTGTGTGTGTGTGTGTGTGTGTGTGTGTGTGTGTGTGTGTGTGTGTGTGTGTGTGTGTGTGTGATCCAGGAAGATACATGTGACTGTCCCAGGAGGCAGTGTGGGTGATCTGTCAGGTGACTGTCCCACAGAAGTGTGTCTAGAGAGCAATGCAGTTTTGTTGCCCCTCTGGGGAGGGGTCACCAGTGGTTCTTAATTAACCCCCCTGGAACCTGCAAATGGCTAGCCAGCCACAGGGAGCCTGGCTGGTGTGGGAGGCAGTTTTCCTGAGCACAACAGTGGCGCTTGATGCTAATTAATTTAATGTATTAATGGCATCCGCTTCCTGTTTTAATTGGCATTTATCTCCAAGGAAGAAAGCAGGATTAGTAGTGGTAGGCTGTTTCTGTGCATGAAGGGTTTTTTTGTTTTGTTTTTTGTTTTTTCTCCTAAGTACTTCTTAGATTGTGTAACTGAGCCTGAGACTAGCCTGATCCAGGTCCCACAGATAGCAGCCTGTCCCTTGTCATAGGCACACAGGGGCAGTTTCCAAGCCCCCAGATGGGTGACAGGCCTGGAACAAATCAGGAGAGAACACATAACATGGCCTGTGGCTGGGGTATCTTTGTTCTAGCCCTGAGACTCTATGGTTCCCGGGATGGGTCCTTCCTTTGGGGTAGAACCCAGACGGACCGACAACCCAAACCTGTTTTGGAATTGGCCTTGCCACAGTTCCTCTCTGCTCAGCTTTTTTCTTTTCTGTGTGTGTACTTATACATACATGTACACATATGGGCATATATGTGCATGTGCGCGTTCCCATGTGTGTTGAAGTCAGAGGACAAGCTTGGATGCTGCCCCCCAGAGACTATCCGCCTTATTTTCTGAGGTAGATCTCTCACTGGCCTGGACCATGTAGACTAGGCTAGGCTGGCCAGCTACAGCTAGTGAGCTCCAGGGATCCATTGCGTATGCCTGCCCAGCACTGGGCTTACACATGGAGGCCACACTCAGCTCCTTCACATGTGCTCCACAGAAAAACTCAGGCCACCTCCTTGACAACAGAGGTCTTTTTTTTTTCTCAAGTTTTCTTGAGACAAGGCCCACTGTGTAGCTCCGGCTGACCTGGAGCCTTGTGGTCATCCTCCTGCCTCGACTCCAGAGTGCAAGGTTACCTCCACACCCAGTCATGGCTGTACCTTGACATCAAAGGTTTTGAATGAAGCATGGATTATGTAAGGGGGGCCGTGGAGGCCATACAACGGTATTGGATCACCAGATGGAATGTTCCCTCCTGCTTGGGATCCAGGGATGGCGTGCTCTGGTTCTTCTCCTCAAAGCCACTCACAACCCACTCTGTCCCCAGGAGAAGGTGAGCTTCGCGCTGTGTTCAGGGCCTCGGCTGGAGGCGGCGCTGGCCTCCAAGGACAGAGAAATCCTCAGGCTGCTGAAGGACGCCCAGCAGCTACGACACTCCTTGCAGGAGCTGGAGGAGGTCTCGGCCAACCAGATCGCTGACCTGGAGCGGCAGCTAGCAGCCAAATCTGATGCCATAGAGGCAGGTCCCAGGGTGGCAGGGGTGGTGGCAGGCTGGGAGCACGGGGCCAGCTTCACCGTGCCCATTTGTCTTCTAGAAACTACAAGAAAAGCTCGAGGCCCAGGCTGACTATGAAGAGATTAAAACAGAGCTGAGGTACAGTGCCGAACCATGCTGGCCTGGAAGCTCACGACCTCCCCGCCCAGCCTCCCGCTATGGTGACCACAGCTCCTCCAGTCAACACTTGGCCCATCAAAACTGGTCCAGTTCAAGCTAGGCATAGTGACATGTGATTGTTAGCCCAGCACTCAGGAGGCCAAGGCTGTCCTAGTTTAGTCTCTTCTGTGTGGTAAAGTGCTAACCAAAACCAACTTGTAGCTTACAGGTCCCAGACCGTTGTCAAGGGAGGCCAGGGCAGAAACCTGGAGGCAGGAGCTGGAGCAGAGCCCATGGAGGGGAGCTGCTTCCTGGCATGTTCCCCATGACTTGTTCAGCCTGCTTTCTTAGAGCACCCAGGACCACCTTGCTTGCAGAAGGGCTGGACCTTCCCACATCAGTCATTAGTCAAGGAAATGCCTCCACAGACTATAGGCCAATCCCACGGAGACATCATCTCAGTCAAGGTTCCCTCTTGCAATGACTCTAGCCTATGTCAAGTCAGCACCCTAGTCCTATTCCATGAAGATGTGGGGATAGTCATCCTGTCACGGTGTGGAGACTGGGGGCTCACACACCAGCCAGGTGGGATAAGCACAGGCCATGAGGATGGGGGGGGGGCTCACCAGACCCAGCTGCCTCCAGGAACCAATGGAACACGTTAACACACCTGTAACTTCAAGCCTACAATTGGCACAGTTTGCAGTAGACAGTTGACCCTTGATGTCTCCAGTGTCAGAGGCCTAAGCGCCCCGCCCCCACGATTGTGGTAGTGTACTCCATGGAACCCAGGCCCAGCCTCCTGTGACTTCATCATCCCTTCTCCCATGACCCCGAGTGCAATGGCCACACATCCCTCCATCCCCGCAGAGGCAGTTCAAAGCTCAGCATACAGCCCAGGGAAAATCCAATTTTGGTTTTTGGAACTTTCAGAAAAACTACACGTTTTATCATTTCCATCCATGTTCTGCTAAAAGCACAAGGCAGGGTAGCTCAGTGGCAGAGGACTTGCGTGGCATGCAGGTCACCCTGGGGTTCCTTCCCTAGGAATGGAGAAGGAGGTGAGAGACAGCTGGGAGAAAGAGGGAAGATCAGAGGTTGGAGGAACTCTACACCTGTAATCCCAGCCCTTGGGAGGTGGGGGCCGGAGGGTTGGGCCAGTCTCAGCAACATAGTGAGGCTAGCCTGAGCTACATGAGACCCACAGACCCAAGGTCGCCTGGGGAGAGGCTAGCAGCGAAGGCATAGGCAGTAAGTACCTCACCTGGGGCCTCTCCTCCTGCTGGGGCCCGCTGACCTTGGGCCTCTCTGCTCTCTCTGGCAGCATCTTAAGAGCCATGAAGCTGGCCTCCAGCACCTGCAGCCTCCCACAGGTACATGTCCCTGCCAGCATCCCTGTCCCCAAAAGCCAGCCACCCCCGGGCCTGCACCAGCCCCGCCTTCTCAGCCTTGCTTCCCGTCTCCTCAGGCCCTGACTAAGCCAGACGACCCGCTGCTCATGGCCAAGGAGGCTTTCTTTCCCACGCAGAAGTTCCTGCTGGAGAAGCCAGCACTGCTGGCCAGCCCTGGTAGGGGACAGGGGACACCGTGAGGGGCACTTGAGCTGGGGTCTGGGCAGGGATGCCCCGGGGCCACTGCCACCTAAGGCAGGCGTGCGGTATGAGCACCTGGTGTGGTCCCAAGGCTCCTGATGGTTTTCCGTGACCCTGAGTCCAGCTGACAGTGGGGCTTTAATAAGAAGGAGTCAGGAGGGGATAGTGGTGGCGCATGCCTTTAATCCCAGCACTCGGGAGGCAGAGGCAGGCGGATCTCTGTGAGTGAGTTCAAGGACAGCCTGGTCTACAGAGTGAGTTCCAGGACAGCCAAGGCTATACAGAGAAACCCTGTCTTGAAAAACAAAACAAACAAAAAAAGGAGTCAGGAGAGGGAGGTGTCCATACCCGCCCACCCCACAGCTGCCCCCAGGGATGGCCCACAGGTTTAAAAGGCCTTCTGCTCACAAGTGGCCTTTTAGCCCTGTGACCCTCCCCAAGAATATAGCAAGTTGGTTATTCATCCCTTCACGTCTACATTGAAAGTGCTGGGATGGCCTGAGTGATGGAGGCACAGAGGGACATAGGACACCCGCATGACCATGAGCCCATCCCTGCTTGCTAGGCTCCTACAAACTAGCATTTGAAGGGGGTCCGAGGAGGTGAGATTTGAGAATGGAGGGGAAACAACCAGTGTGGGCGTTTATGATCTCTGAGGTCTATAGCCTTTCCTTCTCTCTGTCCCTCCATAACCCCGTTTTTCCTGTCCCTACTCTGTCTGGACCGTCTCTGCCCCCTTGCTCTCCATCTTCCTCTCTGAACACCTCTCTTCCCTCTGCATACCCCTCTCCTCCATTACCACTGGCCCCTCTGTCCCTGTCTGGCTGTGCGTCCGTCCTGGTGTTCTAGAGGAGGACCCCTCGGAGGATGACTCTATCAAGGGTTCACTGGGCACGGAGCCCTCCTACCCTCCTCAGCTTCCACCCCCACCAGGCCCGGAAGACCCGCTGTCTCCGAGTCCTGGGCAGCCCCTGCTGGGTTCCAGCCTGGGTCCTGATGGGCCGAGGACTTTCTCATTGTCCCCCTTCCCCAGCCTGGCATCTGGGGAGAGGCTGGCTGGGGACCCGCTGCTGCCCAAGCACATAATGGGCCCGGCTGCCTTCAAAGGGGACGCGGGCAACCTGCTGGCATTCCCGCCGGCCTTCTATGGCGGTGCCAAGCCTCCAACGGCTCCCGCCACGTCGGCACTCGGCCCTGAGCCCACCGGGGCCCCGGAGCCTGTGGACGGGGCTGGGCCAGAGGAGGAGCAGCTGGACACGGCCGAGATCGCCTTCCAGGTGAAGGAGCAGTTGCTGAAGCATAACATTGGCCAACGTGTGTTTGGCCACTATGTGCTGGGACTGTCGCAGGGCTCGGTGAGCGAGATCCTGGCACGGCCCAAGCCGTGGCGCAAGCTCACGGTGAAGGGTAAGGAGCCCTTCATCAAGATGAAGCAGTTCCTGTCGGACGAGCAGAACGTGTTGGCCCTGCGCACCATCCAGGTGCGGCAGCGAGGTGAGCCATGACGCAGCCCCGCCACCGTTCAGCGCCATGTGCCGCCCCGTGCCTCAGTTTCCTCCTTTCCAGGGAAAGGCGTGCAGCCTCCTTCCTTCACTGGGCCATCCACCCCCCACTTTTACACCCTCCCCAGCCTATCCCTCCTGCCAGGGCATTTCACCCTAGGCTCTGGGTCAGTTCCTCAGTTTCCCCATCCGTCAGCTCTCTGAAGAGGGAGGGACTGAAAGGACCCAGAATGCTGACCACTGCACCAGGATGGGTGCTCAAAAGTGTTAGCTACCTGGGCAGTGGTGGCGCACGCCTTTAATCCCATCACCCGGGAGACAGAGGCAGGGGGATCTCTGTGAGTTCGAGACCAGCGAGTTCCAGGATAGACAAGGCCGCACAGAGAGACCCTGACTTTAAAAAAAAAAGTGTTAGCCATTACCATTATCGTCTGTTACTGCTGAGCCAGGGACGCATGGCTCAGTGTTAAGCACTGGCCCTGGGTTCTAACCCCAAAGCCAGAGTCACTATGCCATCTACCGTTTGTCACATCGAGTAAGCTGTGGCTCTGCACTCCCTGAGGACAGTCTGGCCCACACCCTCCTGCCTGCCTCCAGGGCCTGACACCCCTACCCGCAGGCCCCACAGCCGCCACCTTCGTGCCTTCCCCAGGCAGCATCACCCCAAGAATCCGCACACCTGAGACAGGCTCAGACGAGGCGATTAAGAGTATCCTGGAACAGGCCAAGAAGGAGATCGAGTCTCAGAAGGGAGGTGAGTAGCCCTCAGCCGGTGACCTCTGATCCCTGCCAGCACCTCAAGGCTGCTCTCAGCAAGGTCTCCGCGGCCGCCTGTGATCCCAGAGCGTTCCAGGGGCCAGAAGGACTTTTCTGGAGTGCAAACACAGGTATCCCCCGGGGCTCCCTGCTGCTCCCAGCTGTTCAGCAGGAACTCCAGGCCCAGTCTTCACACCCTCCACACCTCTCACAGGACCCCTACCCAGGACATCTAACCAACTCCCACTCACTTCCTTATGTTTCGCCTCCTCCAGGAAGCCCCCCACTTTACCCAGGTGGGCTGGGGGGCTGCCCATGTGCCTGACATCTTTCCAGGTAACCTACAGTATGAGGTTAACTGGACTGGCCACAGTCCTGGCTCTGCTGTTGATTAGCAGTGTGCCTGGGGCTGGTGACCGGGCCTTTCTCTGCCTCCCTCCTCTCATCTTCAAGATGGGGTGGTGTTAGCCCACCTTTCTGAAAACTGGGGGGATCGAGTGAGGTTGGTAATGGGGCAGGGGGTGGGGTGTGGAGGGCGGGTACACAGAAGAATGTGGACAGAGCCATGTAGTCAAAACCATCTTCCAGCCAGGTGGTGATGCACACCTTTAATCCCAGCACTCGGGAGCAGAGGCAGGTGAATTTCTGTGAATTCCAGACCAGCCTGATACACTAGCTGAGTTCTAGGACAGCCAGGGTTTCAAAGAGAAACCCTATCTTGAAAAAAAAAATCTTCCTAGTCTTCGTTGTGATTGTGCAGTCAGTAGCTCTGATCACGTGTTTGTCTCTGCCACTGGCTTGGGGGCTTCTGCGACCAGACCCAAGTTGAACACTTACACCTTACACTCAATGCTGGATTCACAGCTCCCACCCCACTGTGCAGTGTCTGCTGCCCCCTGGTGGATGATCAATGCAAGTGTCCCAGTTGCAAAGTCCTATGAGGAAAATGTACCCCTGCCTGCCCCCTCCCCTGTGAGGCGCCACAGGGGAGGGGGCATGCCTGGTGGGCAGGTGTCTACACTGCCCCACTGTCTAGTCCTCAGAGCCACTCGTGATACATTTTTAAAGCAGTTCCTGCTGCTTGACAGACAGGGCTACAGACATAGTGAGACATAGTAGCAAGTCCTTAAGGAGTTCAGTCACGTGGGCTCTTGGTGCCTGAGGCCACAGTGCTTCCCCCAGGGCGAGGAACAGACACTGGGAAGGGTTAAAAGTGAGCAGAAGCCCTAGGGAAATGTTCGTGCTAGTGCAGGGCCAGCAACAAGAGACTAAGTTACAAGAGTAGGCACACACCCCAGCTCCCATCTCCACAAGCCTGGAACAGCTGGAAGGAGCCACGTGAAGGGAACTAGTCATTGCTCAGGAGGAAGAGCACCTGGGCAGCTGCTAGCTCCAGGTGTCTGCTTGGGGGGGGGGGGAGTTATACAACCTCCTTATGATGGTCACAGGCTAGCCAGGCAGTGTTGGCGCACACCTTTAATCCCAGCACTTGAGAGGCTGAGGCAGGTAGATCTCTGAGTTCGAGGCCAGTTACAGAACTTACGTTCAAGGACAGCCAGGACTACACAAAAAAACCCTGTCTCAAAAAAAAAAAAAACAAAAACAAAGTGGGAGTGGGGAGGGATAGCCCTCCCATCCCGATAAACAGCCCTTCCCCACTTCAGCCTGTTGCTGGACAGTACTTTGAAGTCATGTGACAGGCGCTTCCTGGGTTGTCACCCTTCACTGCCCTCATTGTTTAAATGTTTTTCTAGGTCACAGTTTGGATCCATGACTGAATACTGTTCTATTGCCTTTTACTGGAAAAAACAAATAATGTCTGTGTGGTGGTTCCTGGGATACGGTGTACACAGGAGGGTCCTGGTGTCCTGTCTGGCCCAGAGGCAGCACCTAATCATATCCTGACCAATGGCTGTTCCTGGGGCTTAGCCTGAGTCTGCCCTTGGTTTGTGACATTCTCTCTGCTCACTTCCTGTGTGGCCTTCTCTGTGTATGTGTTCATTCACTTATTCATATGGCCAGTTGAGCCTCTGGGGACTATGGCCCCCACCCACAGGGAGCCCTCAAGCCTCTGACCTGACTTTCCCCTTCCCTGGGATAGCTGTCAACCTGTTGGGTTTTTTGTTTTGTTTTTGTTTTTCCTATCAGCCCGTCGTGTTAATTTCCCCCTAAATCATGTTGTTTAATTTACTTGCTTGGTGCTTCTTGGAGACATGTTATACTTACGATTTTTTTTTATACATGGGACAGGGTTTCTCTGTGTAGCCCTGACTGCCCTGGAACTTGGTCTGTAGCCCAGGCTGGCCTGGAACTCGGAGAGATCCCCCTGTCTCTGAGCGCTGGGAAAGGTGTGCTCCATCCCCCTGTCTCTGAGCGCTGGGAAAGGTGTGCTCCACCGCAGCCATCCTGTGGAGTCTGTAGTGCTTTCTTTTACGCCCTAGGCTATGTTACTGAGATCCCTGCCTGGCTTTGCCGGGAACTCCCGTTTCTCTGCCGTGTAGTATTCCACTCTGCCCACACTAATGGTCGTTATCCAGTCTTTTGTCTTTGGACATTTGGGTTTCCGCCATGATTTTGCTCTGGAATACTGGAAAGAGCTACTTCTGCTGTCCTCTTTCTTGACCTTGAGCTTTTACATGGTGGGTTCACAGCGAGCATAAAAGGCATTGCTTTGGTTTTGACACCTGTCTTATCTCTGTTTACTTTTTCCACATATACTAAGATTTTGCTTTTTTTTTTAATGAATGCCTGCCTAATATTCCACTAGATTGCAGGGTGTTGGTGGCGCACGCCTTTAATCCCAGCACTGGGAAGGCAGAGGCAGGCGGATCTCTGTGAGTTCAAGGCCAACCTAGTCTACAAAGTGAGTTCCAGGACAGCCTCCAAAACAATACAGAGAAACCCTGTCTCGAAAACAAACAAACAAACAAAAATCCACTAGATTGACCATTACTTACTTGACCAGTTGTTGGACACAGAGGTTGTCCCCACATTTAGGTGGTATAAACACAGATGCTTCATACTTGTCCCTGATGATGGGCCCTTGTCCACCCTGTCACCTTTCCCACAGGTGAGCCCAAGAACTCCACAGCCTCTGTGAGCATCTCCAACGGCACAGCCTCCTCCAGCACCTCAGAAGACGCCATCAAGAACATTCTGGAACAAGCCCGCCGAGAGATGCAAGCCCAGCAGCAGGCCCTGCTGGAGATGGAGTCGGGACCCAGGGGCCGCTCTGTGCCTCCCTCTCCTCCAGAGCGACCCTCACTGGCCACTGTGAGCCAGAATGGGGCCCTGACCTGCGTGAAGCAGGAGGACCCTGGCGGCGGTGGCTGCAGCAGCAGCAGCAGCAGCAATGCGCAGGCGCCGCTCGCTGTCCTGTCCCCGGCTGTGTTTGTGCAGCGGATCATCCGCAAGGTGAAGTCCGAGATTGGTGATGCCGGCTATTTTGACCACCACTGGGCATCGGACCGCGGCCTGCTCAACCGTCCCTACGCCTCCGTGTCGCCCTCCCTCTCCTCCTCTTCCTCCAGCTACTCCGGACAGCCCAATGGGCGAGCCTGGCTCCGCGGGGATGAGGCAGCCCTCGCCCCTGAGGACGAAGCAACCACGGGCGAGGATGAGGCCCCCAGAGTGGGAGAACTCAAGGCCGAGGCCGGGGTCCCGGAGGTGGGTAGCGGGCGGCTGCCCTACTACCCGGCCTATGTGCCTCGCACACTCAAGCCCACCGTGCCGCCCCTGACGCCTGAGCAGTACGAGCTGTACATGTACCGGGAGGTGGACACGCAGGAGCTGACCCGCCAGGTCAAAGAGAAGCTGGCCAAGAACGGCATCTGCCAGCGCATCTTTGGGGAAAAGGTGCGGACCACGGGGAAGCTGGGGACACAGGAATTAAGGCCCTGCGAGACACTGGTCCTAAGGCCTGGAGCCCGGGTGGGAAGCCACTCCTCAGGAGCCCAGTCAGATGTCTGGCATCTAGTCATCCCTGGACACTGGGTCAGTTAACAGCCAGTGCCCTGCCCCCACACTCCTCCAAGAGGTCCCCTGGCCCAGCCCCTGAGGTTAAGGACTCAGCCCAGCCCAGCCCTGTGCCTTAATGTCCCCAGCTGGTGCTTGAACATTGGGTTTAAGTAGCAAAGGTTCGCTGGGCGGTGGTGGTGCACGCCCTTAGTCCCAGCACCCTGGAGGCAGAGGCAGGCAGATCTCTGTGTTCAAGGCCAGCCTGGTATACCGAGCTAGTTCCAGGACAGCCTCCAAAACAATTCAGAGAAACCCTGTCTTGAGAAAACAAAACAGAAAAGCAGAGGTTCGAGAAAGAGTCACGAAGCCAGAGCTGGGAGAAAAAACTTAAGAGGGAGGTGCACGGTAGCATCCTAGAGGAGACCATGGCCCTTAAGGGTTACATGGGAGTTCTGTGGAGAGCTGGTCCTAAAGGGCCTGGGAGGAGCCAGGAAGGCCACGTACGGGATTTGCTAATCTGCCTTCCACCTGTAGGTCCTGGGACTGTCCCAGGGCAGCGTGAGTGACATGCTGTCACGGCCAAAGCCATGGAGCAAGCTGACACAAAAGGGCCGAGAGCCCTTTATCCGAATGCAGCTGTGGCTGTCAGACCAGCTGGGCCAGGGCCAGGCCCCAACCCAGCAGCCCAGTGCCACGCAGGGTGAGTACAGGGGACAGGGCCCCCGTAGGGTCTACCCCAAATCAGTCCCTCTCTGCATCCCCAACTCCATTCTACAGTCCCCAGTGTTGCCACCTGGGTCACGTGTTCCTAATCCATGCCTCTGCTCCCCCTGGAAGGAAGTTTCCTCCCAGCAGAAGTGCAGAAGGCTTGGCCCAGGCATTTAGAGCAGGCAGGACACACACGACCAGTGGAGTCCTGTGCCCCGCCCCCGCGTTATCAAACCTCCCCAGAGAACCCGGTATTACAGCTCTTTAGGATCTGTCTTAGCCCAGACCTGGGCCATTCAGCTGTTCAGTAATGACATCATGGGCAGGGTGGAGCCTGAACTTGGGGGGGGGGGGAATGGAGGTGCAGGGAGCTGCCTGGAGTCACAGGGCCAGTATGCAGGGCTGCTGGGGTCCTGTGGGTGGCACTTATTTCAGCACATGTGGTAGCTGGCAGGATGGCCCACCTGCCCCAGAGACCACAGAGACAATGATCCTAGGCCAGGACCAGAGCCCACACTCGATAACCCCACCTGTTAGGTGGGGATCCATCGAAGCCATACATCGAGTCACAGAAATAATCAGGACTGCCAGCAGGGTTACAAACCTGAACAGAGTGTCTTCCAGGTGACAGTTTCACCTTAGAGCTCCCTCCCTGTCAGTTAGTGACTACAAAACAAGAACAGGCTGCAGACAGACAGGCAAAGCAATGGCAGGTGGCTGGCAGGGACTCACAGACAGGCAGCAGACAGGCAGGCAGCAGTCTGGGGCAGAGGCAGGAGGACTATGAGCTCAAGGCCAGTTTTTGCAATGTACAGAGGCCCATATGAAATTTTTGAAAAGAGTTGAACTATTGTTCATTGGTAGGGTGTTTGCCTAGCACATCAAGGCACTGGTTCAGCTCCCAGAACCATAGAAAAGGGAAAAGCTACGTACCGTGAGGACCCCTGGACAGTCCCTTCTTAGGGTGCACCATGCCTTGGTTCCAGTATCATCCTGCCCAGCCACGCCCAGTGGTGGTGACCACCCTGCTGTCTCTTCCCCTACAGCCAGTCCCACTGAGCCGAGGTCCTCACCATCACCTCCCCCAAGCCCCATGGAGCCTGAAAAGACTTCCCAGGAGCCCCTGGGTCTGTCACTGGAAAGCAGCAAAGAGAACCAGCAGCCTGAGGGTCGGGCCAGCTCCTCCCTGGGTGGGAAACCCCTCTCAGGCAGCCAGGCTGCGGGGGGCATCCAGGAGATGGTGGCCATGTCCCCAGAGCTGGACACATACTCCATCACCAAGAGGGTCAAGGAGGTCCTCACAGACAACAACCTAGGTATGTGCCGCGGTGCTGCCTGCAGCCCTAGACTAGTTTTCCCGGGCTTTGAGCAAAATGCCACTGGGACTTTCTAGTGACCTCAGGGTCTGCCAGTTCTGAGTATGCAGGACCAGCGTGAGGCGCGCGCGCCTCTGACCACCACTCCTACTGAGGAACTAGGGGCCCAGCCTGTCTCTCAAAAGTGCCCTGCAGCAGACCTCAGCCCCAGTCAGCCACATCGTGGTGGCGCACACCTCTAACCTCAGCACTTGGAAGGCAGAGGCAGACGGGATCTCTGAGTTCAGTCTGGGCTACAGTGACTTCCAGGAGAGCATGTCTTGACAAACAAACAAGCAAAGCAATTCCCCTTCTCTGTAGCAACAGTGATGCTCACCATGGGACCAGAGGCAGGGTGAGACAATCCTCTGAATCATAGATGGGTGCCAGCTCTGTCCCCCAACAGCTGTCACTACAGTTTCTATTAGAGAGGAACACAGTGTTGTCCCAGAATACCCAACACGAACTGGGCACAGTACTCATTCAGTAGTCCTAGCACTTAGGAGACTGAGGCAGGAGGATAGCCACAAGTTCAAAACCTGACTGAGCTACAGCGTGAGACCTTTTCTCAAAAAAAAAAAGTTTAAAAATTCAGTAACAAAGACTAGCTCAGTGGTGGTGGCATACACCTTTAATCCCAGCACTCACTCAGGAAGCAGAGGCAGGAGGATCTCTGTGAGTTTGAGACCAACCTGGTCTACAGAGTGAGTTCCAGGACAGGCTCCAAAGCAATATAGAGAAACCCAGTCTGGAAAAAAAAAGTGAAAGAAAGGCTAAGCAGATTTTCAGCTGATGAAGGGCCTGAGTTCACATCCCCGGCTATGTTAAAAACCAAGCATGGGGACTGGAAAGATGGTTCAGTGGTTAGGGACACTGGTTGCTCTTCTAGAGGACCTGGGTTCAATTTCTAGCTTACAATCATCTGTAACTCTAGTTCCGGGAATCTAGTACCCTCTTCTGACCTACTAGGGTACTAGACATGCAGTGGTGTACAGACAGATATACATGCAGGCAAAATACCCAGACACACAAATAAAATAAAAGCAGACAAAGATCTGTATATAATGGTGCACATCTGTAACTCAGAGTTGGGGCAGAGACAGGCGGACCCCTGGCCAGCCAGGAAATAGTGAGCTCCAGGTCTGGTGAGAGGTCCAGTCTCCAAAAGCTGAGGGTTAAAGCCATTGAGGAAGACACCCAGCGTTGACCTATGACCTCCCTGTGAAGGCAGCTGGGACCAGGTGTGTCCTGCATCCCTGCCACCAGTACTTGAAAGCCTGGGGCAGGAGGATTACAAGTTTGAGGCTAGCCTCGGCTACCAAGCAAGATTCTTCTCAGAACACACAAGAAGCTAAAGAGGGACAGGGTTGGCAGAAATGGGTAGCATGGAGCTTGCCTGACATGCTCGGGGGCTGTGGTTTGACCCTGGCACCCTCCCTACCAAATATAGTCTATAGCCCGGGTGCTCTTGGGCAGAGATCCCTCTAGGCTAATCCTGGAGGATATAATTAGTGGGTCAGAGGTCAGACACGTTTGAAGTTTGGATTGCACCAAGGTATCCTCCAGGAAGGAGGGTGCAAGCTTCCGTACAGTACTGGGTGTCTGCTGGCAGTTTGGAGGGATGGTCCCCTGGGAACAAAAAACTGTACTAACAGAAGACAGTTTTTGTGTTACTGTCCAGTGCCAACCCTCCCCAGTCTCTTGTGTGGAAAGAGTCCCAGGCCACCCTCCCTGGCCTGCTCCTCCCCTGCCTCTCCCGGGAGTGGGTCTCTGTGCTTGGCCTGGGGTGACAGTTGCCCTCTGCCCTGTCCCCAGGGCAGCGGTTGTTTGGTGAGAGCATCCTGGGGCTGACACAGGGCTCCGTGTCAGACCTGCTGTCGAGGCCCAAGCCCTGGCACAAGCTGAGCCTGAAGGGTCGGGAGCCTTTCGTGCGCATGCAGCTGTGGCTGAGCGACCCCCACAACGTGGAAAAGCTGCGGGACATGAAGAAACTGGAGAAGAAAGGTGAGGTCCAGGCCGGGTCCCAGCCACGCTTCGAAACCCCCCTCTGGCAGCAATCCAGATGCCCACCTCCCCCACCAAAGCCACCAAAACCCCATGTGACAGCTCTCATGCCATCCACACATCCAGAGCTGCTGCAGTCTTGCCAACGGCAGCTGCACGCTGTCCCCAGATCCCCCTCAGGCCTCCCCCTCTCTTCTAGATAATTCTCTCTCCTCCGCCCCTTACACAGCCTATGTAGCAGAGAGCGGGCCCACCCAGGGTCCCAGTAGTTCCTTCAAGCGCATGCTCCCCGGGGGCTGGGGAAGTAGTGTCACCGTTGATAGAGCTTACCTAGCAGTCATGAACCCTGGGTTCATTCACCAACACTGGGCTGTGTCAGACCTTGTCTCACACAAATCAAAGCAGGCTATGCCTCTGTAGTGTCGTCCTGCATTGTCAGTGAACTTGTGGTGGTGACCACACCCTTTGGAGGTGGCTTTAGGTGCAGAGGTGACCCGTTATAAGGCAGAGGAGGGGGCTTGACGGGGGAGAGCCACAGCACACATGGGCGGAGAGCACGGGAGTGCCACTACAAGCCTCCAGTGACCTGAAGACTCCAGCTAGGCCCCACCGCTTCAAGTTCCCAGCCCCGGCTTCCAGTGCCTCTCAGCCGGGTCTAAGCCTCTGTTGCGAGTCTTTCTCTGTCCTGCCAACCAGCTCCCGAATAACCACATGAAGACTCATGTTAATTATGGAAGCTCAGGTTCTTTCTAACTAGCTCTTACAACTTAAACTAACCCATTTCTCTTAATTTACTTTTTGCCATGTGGCTTTATCATCGAATCTCTGTATCTGGTTTGGTGACTCCGCCTTCTTTCCAGCATTCTCTCTGCCCCCAAAATCCTGCCTAGCTGTTGGCCATTTAGCTTTTTTATTAAACCAATCACAGTGACATATCTTCACACAGTGTAAAGGAACACCCCACAGCAGCCTCTGGAGAACCTTCTAGATCTAAGCCACAGCAGAACCCCTGTTCACATTTTGTTGTGAGGTCACCATGCATCCTACAATAAGAGGATTTATTCAAAGTGGCCCCTCACACAACAAGATGTTCTGAAACTTAGTGGCACTTGGTTTTTTTTGTTTTTTTGTTTTTTGTTTGGTTTTACGAGACAGGGTTTCTCTGTACTGTTTTGGAGGCTGTCGGTCCAGCCCAGCCTCGAACTCACAGAGATCCGCCTGCCTCTGCCTCCCGAGTGCTGGGATTAAAGGTGTGCGCCACCACCACCTGGCTTTAGTGGCACTTCTAACAGTCTCGATGGCCACAGAGCTCCCCAGTTTGAGCACCCTCTGCCTGCAAGACTCCCTTGTGGTCTCTGGAGTGGCTGTGCTCCAGGACCCGCCCTAACCCCAGCTGGCCTCACAGGCAACAGGGTGCCAGCAGGAGACAGGCCAGGATCTCAGCGTAGTCGGGGGAGGAGGGACAGCATGGGAGGGGGGCATGGAGGGCTCTGCTGGGCTGTCTGGACCCTGCCCCTGCAGGTCTGCCATCCCTGCCAAGTGCCAAGCAAGTGTGATGTTGGTGGCCCATCAGCCTGCCCCCTCTCTCCCCAGCCTATCTGAAGCGCCGCTACGGGCTCATCAGCACAGGCTCTGACAGCGAGTCACCGGCCGTGCACTCAGAGTGCCCCAGCCCCTGTCAGCAGCCACAGGAGCTGAGCCTCATGCAGGCCAAGAAGCCTCGAGTGGTGCTGGCGCCTGCGGAAAAGGAGGCGCTGCGGAGGGCCTACCAGCTGGAGCCTTACCCGTCACAGCAGACCATAGAGCTGCTGTCATTCCAGCTCAACCTCAAGACCAACACCGTCATCAACTGGTTCCACAACTACAGGTAGCCCGGGGGGGGGGGGGGGACGGAACACGGGGGACGGGACACCCAAGTCACGGAGCAGCAGCAGAGAGAGGGCCTTGAGGGACCCAGTCAGCCCTGGGAACACAGAGGGCCGCAGGGGACACAGGGTCATAAGGAAGGCTCAGAGGCTCATGGGAACACCTGAGGGTGGTTCCGGCCTGGGGGCTGCAGCTGGATCACAAAGCTACTTCTAGATTCCCAGATGCGCTAACTCTGTCACCTCCAGCAGAGGGATCCTGAGCCCCGTGTTGTAAGCTGTGAGCAAGGACCACAGTGCACCCCCTGGTCGGTGTTGATGCTTATGTAAAGACCTGGCACGGGCAGCACTGACGGTGCGAGTCTGACGTCACCTCCACTCTGTGCAGTGTCCTCTAGGAAGGAACAGATTGGGCCAAGACCTGAGGCATCTCCGGCCTGAGCTAGCAGGGTCTCGTGGTCTCTTCTGCACATGAGACCAAAAGAACACCTGCCCATTGCAGCCTCAGGTGTGGCGGTTCCTCCAAGTGTGGCTCCTTTTTTTGTTTTGTTTTGGTTTTTTTGTTTGTTTGTTTGTTTGTTTTTTCCAGACCGGGTTTCTCTGTATTGCTTTGGAAGCTGTCCTGGAACTCACTCTGTAGACCAGGCTGGTCTCGAACTCACGGAGATCCGCCTGCCTCTGTCTCCCGTGTGGCTCCTTTCTTAGGCCTTTCCATTCTGTAGGCCAGATCCCAGAGGTCCCAAGTGCTGTGGCTTTGGCGAGGCCATAGAGCTTCCCAAGACTGGCCTAGGACCCCCCCTGAAGGAGGCTTATGGAGATTGTAAGGATCATCTCTGAGGCCCTGCCCACTCTCTGAGCAAGAAATGTCACCACTGTCCATTTGGCACTGTGGAAGAGTCTGTCCATCCATTCTGGGGCAGGGAGCTCTCCCAAGATCCTCAAGAAGGACAAAGAGGAAACAGGGATGGGACACATTCCCCTCTCCCCAGCCTGCATGCGGCATCACACAGCCTTAGCTTCGTAGCCTTCAGCAGGCCACTGACCCCTCAGAGTCTCGTGATGATGCTACAAGATGAGGCATGTCACTCCTGCCCTGCCCGCAGTGCCGAGTCAGTCAGGTGAAGCAGCTGCGGGAGTGAGCGGCCCACATATGAGCCAGTGCAGACCCAGACTATAGCAACAGGAGACATGGGCCATAACAGCTTTCTCTCCTCCCCTCCTGAGTGACAAAGGGGACATCATCTCTGCTTCTCATGTCTCATAGGAACTGAGCGTTCTGTCAGAACATTCGTTCAAAAACATATGTACAGCGGGCTGGGCTCTAGAGATCAGGGTTCAAGGCCATACTCCCTGAGCATGATAAATATACATATATATTTATCATGGGCCAAGTCATTTCACCACAGCCTGACTAATCTGGCAAAAGAGAAGTGTCTTGGGGAAGAGGGCATCTTGCCTCCAGAAAACTTGAACGAAGAGGTGATGTCTGAGGTGGGTTTTAAAAGGTGAATAAGACGGGCGTTGGTGGCGCATGCCTTTAATCCCAGCACTCGGGAGGCAGAGGCAAGCGGATCTCTGTGAGTTCGAGACCAGCCTGGTCTACAGAGTGAGTTCCAGGACAGCCTCCAAAGCCACAGAGAAACCCTGTCTCGAAAAACCAAAAAAAAAAAAAAAAAAAAAAAAAAAGGTGAATAAGAGTGATCTCTGTGAGTTCAAGGCCAACCTGGTCTACACAGTAGATTTCAAGCCAGTCAGGGCTACATGATAAGACCCTATCTCAAAAAGGGAAAATAGAAGCAGAAAACCAGACACAAATCACAAGACAGAAGGTGGGGGCTGGATGGTGGTGACAAAGGAGCTTGCCTGCACAAGAAGTTGTGACCCCCAGCTCTCACATTTCCTAAAGCCATGCATTGGCCAGCGAGCTGGTTCAGAGGGCACACATGCCTCTTGATCATTTTACACCCTGAGCTTGATCCCCAGGACCCACAAGGCTAAAGGAGAGTGCCAAGTCCTGAGGTGTTCTCTGACTTACACACACACACACACACACACACACACACACACACACACACTCCAGTGTGTATGTACGCATGCCGGATGAATAAATGTAATTTAAGTTTTTAGAAAAGACACCAGGAGGTGGCAGCACACGGCTTTAATCCCAGCACTCAGAAGGCAGAAGCAGGAGGATCTCTGTGAGTTCAAGGCCAGCCTGGTTTATAAATCGAGTTCCAGGATAGGCTCCGAAGCTACAGAGAAACCATGTCTCGAAAAACAACTACACCTGTGATCCAAAGGTGGGGAGGCAGACGCAGGAAACTTAGTGGGCTCACTGGCCGATCGGTCCGAGAGAGTGACTACCTCAAACGCTAAGGTGAAGAGTGACTGAGAGAGACACCAGACTGACCCCTGACTTCCACAGACTGACCCCTGACCTCCACAGACTGACCTCTGACCTCCACAGACTGACCCTGACCTCCACGGCCCCCCAGCACACTGAAGAGAAAATAAGACGTATGAATATTGACAAAGACTCTTTCCTTTTTTTTTTTTTTTTTTTTTTTTTTTTTTGGTTTTTCGAGACAGGGTTTCTCTGTGGCTTTGGAGGCTGTCCTGGAACTCGCTCTGTAGACCAGGCTGGTTCGAACTCACAGAGATCCTCCTGCCTCTGCCTCCCGAGTGCTGGGATTAAAGGCGTGCACCACCAACGCCCGGCTTCGAAAACTCTTTCCAATTGCTATGGTAACACTGACGGCAAACATCTGGGAGAGGGAACGTGTCAACTGACAGACACATCAGGTCGTGGCCCATCGCTGAGGGACGGCAAGGCGGGCATGAAGCAGAGCCCATGGGAACAGCTGCTTATTGGCCTGCGACCTGGTTGCTCCCTTGCTCATGCTTAGCTTGGCCTTTGATACAGCACAGACCGTGTTGCCTGGGGTGTGCCGCCCATAGTGGGCTGGGCCCCCTACATCAGTTAACAGGCGAGACAGTCTTCCACAGACACTCACGGGGCAGTCTGACCAAGGTAGTCTTTCGGATGAGGGTGCCTCTCCCCGTGTTGATTCTAGGTTGTGTCAATTTGACAATAAAAACTGACCGCACGTCACCCAGTGTTGACTTCTGGGCTCCTCCCACACTCCTCGCTCGCTCACTCACTCACTCACTCAGTCACACACACACTCACTCAGTCACTCACTCACTCAGTCACTCACTCGCTCACTCACTCACTCAGTCACTCACTCCCTCACTCAGTCACTCACTCACTCACTCACTCACTCGCTCACTCACTCACTGACTCACACACACACTCACACACTCACTCACTCACTCACTCACTCGTTCACTCACTCACTCACTCCTCACTCACTCACTCACTCACACGACTCACTCACTCACTCAGTCACACACAGAAGTCTCAGTTGCAGCGGCAGAAGGAAACATTAATGGTGCTTGCTGAGCACCTAGTTTGTCCTGGGAGGGAGGCAGGCACTGCCCTGATCAGTTGCTGATTAGCCTGACAGTCTACTGTGCGCTCTGGGAAGGAGGAGCCTGACTGGAAGGCACAGCTGTAGATGTGGGTGTTGTCCCGGGCGGTGGGTGGAGTGCGGATGCTGATCCTGTGGGCCCTCTGGGGTCAGCAGCCTCGGCCAAGCTCCAGACCCTCGTCCTTGTCTCTGCCACAGGTCCAGGATGCGGCGTGAGATGCTGGTGGAGGAAACGCAGGATGACCCAGACTTGGACCCAGGTGGGGGTCCTGGTGTCCTGGCACCAGGCCACGCCCACATAGACCCCACCCCGCAGAGCCCTGGCTCAGAGGCTGAGGACCAAAAACCCCCAATGAAGAGCCGGGAGCTGCAGGAATCCGAGAGTCCTGCACCCCTGGCTGCCGCAGACAGGGCTCTGGTGAGGATTAAACAGGAGGAGGATACAGAGGTGGAGGAGGACAGCCAGCCCCTGGATGTAGGGGATCCAGACAGAGGACCAGGCAGCCCTAAAGAGGAGCATACCCACCCTCTGGAGAGCAATGAACTCCCAGAGCTGGCCCCTGGGCCGTTCCTTTCAGACACGCCCAACCCAGACTGCCCCTCCTTGCACACCCCCCAAGAAAAGGGGACTGGGGAGCAGGCTCACTCAGACCCTCTGAGTTTCAAGTCCACCTCGGAATCCTCGTGCTGCAGCCTGGAGGGGCCACCGAACTCTCCCTCCGCCATCTCTTCCCCAGGCCTCACGACATGCGTGTCGCCCATCCCCTCCTCCTCAGCCCCCATCTCCCCATCCCTACCCGGAGCCCCGCCTGCCAAAGTGCCGAGTGCCAGCCCCACTGCTGACACAGCTGCAGCCTTGCACCCCAGCACCAAGGTGAACCCCAACTTGCAGCGACGGCATGAGAAAATGGCCAACTTGAACAGTATAATCTACCGACTGGAGAGGGCTGCAAACCGGGAAGAGGCTCTGGAGTGGGAATTCTGAACCAGGGGTGAGGGATGCACCTCAGTGGTCACCTTCCCACCTTTCCTCCTTCCCTCTCCCAAATGGGGTGGGGCCAGAGAGGCAAGAACTCAGCCATGCAAATGTGGACAGCAATGTTAAGCCGTTTACGTTTATTGTTGTAACAATAGTTACCTGAAGTTGTGTGTGAGCAGATACCACCACATCTTCTCTTTGACAGCCCTGCTTATAGGAGGCACTGGGATCCTGCCCTCGTCCCCTCCCCCGTGGGAGGCAGGACCAAAACTGCACCACATTCTCACCCCAAAACTCGGAACTCTTTTAGAAAAATAAAGAAATATTTATAGACCTCTTTCAGCTATTTTAATAAAGGATCCTTTGGAATTTATCCCCAGCTGATGCTGTTTTGATATTAAAGAGAGTTATAAAATCAGATGCTGTCACCGCTGCTGTGGAGCAGATACAGAAGCTGTGTCGGTTTTTTTTTTTGCCATGAGATGAGATTAAAAGACAACTGTTCAAAGCCATCACAAAGCACTCTAAGACGGACCAAATTCAGAGAACCCTTGGACTGCGGGTTTGGTGTTTTGCTCCCCCCCCCAACGCCTGTCTGTGAGACACAGCACGCTGCTGCTGCCCTTCCGGAACCAGAGTTGCAAAGAGAAAGTCCAGAAGACTCTAAATGAAAACCTCCGAGCTGTTGAGGGTGGGACCGTGCTGGCAGCCTCCATGTCACGGGAGCTCCTGTCGCTGTGGAAATTGCCGCCCTCAGCAAACGCATGTGCTTCACAAAGACCTCCACTCCGAGAGTTAGAAACCATCCCCGTATAGACAGAGTGTTTCCAGAACCTTCAGAAAGCTGGGTGTGGGGATACTCAAAGAGTGTTGCTTGTGTTGGTGACCTTGGCTCCCACCCTGAATTGTGGCCACACTTGGAAGGTTTCTCCGAAGGTCTGAGCAAGGCCACCCTGATCCAGAAAACCCTGTGGCTATCACCTTCCTTCCTTGTTTCTAGAGAAGTGTTGGTTCACCGTAGCCCCCAAAGCTTAGCAGCCAGCTCCAAATTTAGCTCTATCCATCCAGAAACCTCAACCCTGTTCCTCGCCATCTCCTCAAGCTGACATCACGACATCTCCCTGCAAAGTGTCCAGGAGCCTCTGGAGCTGGGTGAGGTCGAGTTCACCACAACACGGCCACCATATCCTCACTTTTGGCCTAGTTTCCTACTCTCGACCCGCTTGGGATCAAAGAGGTGACTCCCCCAACTCAGAAGCAACCTTCCTTCAACGTGTTGATTGTGATTTCCGGAGAGGGAGGTCCCGTGGGATGCGATGGCCTCCGTATCGTATCGGTTGCTGAGCTCCTCCTGCTTTTATTCCTTTCTGTCCAAACTGGAGCTGAACTGGTGATAGTGATAAATCTGTGGCCATCTCGAGGGACAAATGGCTCCTCAGTGCAGTGACTATCTTCAAATCACGTGAGCCAAAACATTGACAACCAGAAACGGAAAAAAAACATAGCATAATGTTCCGCAATTTCTCACTCTCATGCACCCAGCCAGGCTGCACACAGGAGACATCCCAGGCCCTGGAAAAACCCCTTTTCCACACATAACCCTGGCTATGCATCGAGAAGTTTTCCACTGTATACATTTTTATCCAGAGGAGGGTATTTTTATATTTTGACACTAGGGAATCATGAGTGAGTTTCCAGAAAAAAATCCATTCTGGGACAAATGAAGCCTGTCTCGGCCTCTGCCACCTCCGTTGCCACGCACACCCACAGGGAGACCCTGCCACTTTGCATCTTGAAACTACATGTTGAGGTGATCCACGCCGTACGTCAGTGCGAATCAGCAGAGTTCACCGTGGCTTCAGTGTGACGGGACTTGGTGTGACCTTTGCACACAGAAACATGTGCAGAAGCCCGCAGATAGATCTGTCCAGTTCACATCCTACAATGGTTAAAAACTAGAAAACACACACACACACACACACACACACACACACACAAAACTGTTTCTATGAGAGATTGATGAACTTTGTCTAAAATTTTACAAAAGGGACACGACACATTCTGTAAACATGTCCCTAAATACAGAATTGTATAATAGTCCTGGGTGTCCCATTTGTTCCGGAGCTGGGGTGCAAGATGGGCATAGAGTCAGTCCTCAAAGGTGCCACACAAAGTGAGGGTTTTGTTTCCTTAGGTTTTGTTTTGTGGGGTTTTGGTGGTGGTGTGTTTTGTTTTGTTTTGTTTTGTTTCTTTTGGAGGGGGGCCGGTTGAGACAGGGTTTCTCTGTATTGTTTTGGAGGCTGTCCTGGAACTCGCTCTGTAGACCAGGCTGGCCTCGAACTCACAGTGATCTGCCTGCCTCTGCCTCCTGAGCGCTGGGATTAACCTCTTCATTATTATTAGGGTTTGTGTTTTGTGTGTGTGTGTGGAGATCAGAGAGCAACTTACCAGAGTTGATTCTCCCTGTGGGTTCCAGGGAATCAAACTTGGGCCATGAGGCTTGCATGGTGAGTGTCTTTACCTGGTGAGCTGCTTCACCAGCTCAAAATCATATATTTAAAGATTAGGGTCATTTGTTTGTTTATATATTTATCAGGACAGGGTCTCACTGTATAGCCCTAGCTATCCTGGAACTGGCTATGTAGACCAGGCCGTCCTGGAACTCAGAAATCTGGCTGCCTCTGCCTCCTGACCGATAAGATTAAAGGTGTGCGCCACCACCATTGACTACACTATTTGGTTTTGAGAGTCTTATGAGACCCAGGCTGCCCTCAGACTTACTTTGTAGTGATGGGTGACTTTGAACTGGTCCTCCCTCCTGAGTACTGGAATTAGAGGCATACACCACCATACCCAGGAAATACTGTTTTTTAATTGAGTACCAGCAGTCAAATATGGGGTATGTTCCTTAAGTACCACCAATGCCAACTTCTGAAAACTCTGGCTGTACCGGGCCACCATCTGTTGTGACAACAGCTATCTGGGGCCTGGGACAAGGGGTCAAGATTGGGCCTTGCTTTTATACCTGTGGCCACGAGCCACAACCCTCAGCCAGTGTATAAATGGAGCAGGGAGTCAGTCTGTACCAAAAGGGCCTTCCCCAGACTGGCACAGTGCTGCCCACCCCTAGACAGAATGCAGGCCTCAATTTCCACATCTGTAAGATGGGGTGTTGCAGCAGTGACTCATGGTGCATTCTGGGGTGGTGTTTTGGAATAGTGTGGAGCATGGGTACACCTGTCCAGAGCCTGAACCAGGAGCTTGACAACCATGTGGCTGTCATCTGTAGGTGGGGGTGGGGGTGGTGTCGTCTTGTCAGCCATCACTCACCCATGAACCAGAGCCACGCGCAGCAGCTCAGATGGTTCACTGGTAAACCCTTCTACAACCCCTGGTTTCCACACATCCTCCTGGGGGAGGGCTCTGACTCATCATCCCCACCGTGGAGAACTTGCCTGAGTCCCAAAGGCCGGCTCCCAGGCAGCACGGGTTGGGGTGGACGGGACGCAATAACGGGAGCTGTCCCATGAAGGAACCTTACAGGCTGACCCAGGCAACTCTGAGTCAGGGAGTCAGACTGCCTAGTTTCCATACCAGCCCCACTTCTGAGAGCTCTGTGTACGGGAGAGAATGCCAGAGCCTCTCCATGCCTCGGTTTCCCTGGCTGTACATTTCCTTAGCGGGTAGCTGCGAATTGCGGGTTCCTGGGGACTGGCCATTCTGATCCCAGGTCACCACTCTTAGGAAGGCTGAGAGATTGATAGGACAAGGTGATGTATTATCTATTACCTAGCTACTCAAGAAGCTGAGGCAGAGGGATTTCTGAGTCTAGGCATTTGAGAACAGTTTGGACAACACATCAATACTTTCTTGAAAATTCGAAACAAAACTAAAACCTAGTCAAAACTCCATATTCTGGGGCCCCTGCAGGGAATGCAGGTCTGCTGTCACTTGAGACCTTAGATCAGCCCGTGTCTTGTCAGCTCTGGGGACTGGGGTTCCTTTGTGAATCACCGGCTTGGGTATTGAGGTCATGTCAGCTGTCCCTTGCCCTGAAGTAGAAACTTGTAGGAAAATACCAAACTACAGAATTCTGCGCTGGGGGAGGGAGAGCAGAGGGATCAGGATAGCCTGGGAAAACCTGGAGAGCTTCCTGGAGGAAGCTGGTTTGGGTGGATGCAAAGCAGAGCAGCCAGCTGAAGTGGGGGGGGGGTGACTTGACACAGGTTCGTCTAGCTAGCATCTGTTTAGTTCCACGACTTGGTGGGGGAACCAGGAGGGAAGGGCATGAGGCGTGGGGTCCAGAAGTTCTTCCTGGAGAAGAGGACACCACGCCAGAATGAACCGTGACAAGAGATGGGAAGAGGTCCCGAGGGACGAGAATGTAAAAAGCATGGAGCTAACGGACCCTGCAAGGGGCACGGGTGAAGGGGAGCCTGGGAAGGAGAGAGACCGGATGGAGAGGCTCCATGGGGCGTGATGGGAAGCAGGCTTCTCCTGAGGGTTCTGGGGGCTACAGCAGGCATGAGGCAGGGATGCTGCGTTTGGGTTTGCACTTTTAGCTGGGTGAGTCCATTTGCCTGCCCTGACTCACGGCCCCTCCCCCTTTCTCCTGGGTTAGCACCTTCCAATCTGTGAGAAACCCTAATGAATGACTATGAGCTCCCTCACCTGGGTCCATCTTTCTTTCTTTTTGGAGATAGGGTTTCTCTATTTAGCCGTGGCTGTCCAGGAACTTGCTCTGTAGACCAGGTTGGCCTCTCGAGTGCTGGGATTAAAGGCGTGTATGTGTGCCACCGCTGCCCTGGCTCTCTACAGCCTTGGTGGGGTTAGTTACTATAGAAACCAGGCCACCCCATAGACCCAAGAGCAGTAGGGCTGAGCAGGAGTGACCTTGTCCAAGGTGACCCACTGGGGAGCTAGCTTGTGAACCTGCCTACCCTGAGGCTCCCACAGGCCGGCCAGCCTAACAGCCAGGCAGCCAGGCCTGTGTTGGTTTCTCCCTCATTAGGTACCTAGGACTCCATTTCCTGTCTGTGACTGGAGACCAGTGCTTGAGTGCTCTGGCTACAGGTACTGTATGAAGCGGCCCACCTTTGGTGGCTCCCAGCCCTGAATGCTCCTCTCCTGCAGCCTTGAGGCATGAGTCTGAGGCTGGCGGCCCACCCCTCACCCGCTGCCTCAAGGTTCCACCCCCGTGGGCCTGCGGTGTGGATGGCAGGTTACCAGGCTCTGGAAGCACTCAGCCAGCCACCCAGTGTGGCTGCCCCTCCCTTCACCACCCTAAATCTGGACGTCACAGCCATCCTTATCCGTTGAGGTCACGAGGCCCACAGGTACACACGCCCACCGAAGTGCTGCTGTGAACAGATGCACATGGAGACTCTCAAGGTCCTCTGGAGGAACAGTCAGTGGTCTTAACCACTGAGCCATCTCTCCAGTGTGCCCCGCCCCATGGTTCTGTCTTTAACTGTCTGAGAAGCTGTCCATGCCCTGGGGTCCACCATTGACCTGGGTCACTTTTTCCATAGCTGTCTGATGGCCACTGGGTGACTCCACTCACATCTCATTGGCCAAAACTGGGTCAGGGCCCATTCTTTGGCAATCAAATGGCAGCAGCATGGCTGTTCCAGGTGAATTAATCACTTGGGGTGGGTGGATGCTGGGCCACGGTACCTCTGACTGAGTGCCCTCCATCCCCAGTGGCTTCTTAGAATATCCCTGACCACACAGTGCCTCTAGATCTGTGCCCTGCACGTCACCCCATCACTAGCAGGGGGGGGGCAGAGAGGCATGTCAGCACTGACTAACTGCTCCCAAGGTCACCTGTCACTCCAAGGAGTCTTTTGGTAAGGGCACACCTGTGCCCCTGCCCCTTGGAGCAACCTCCCCTGCTACTTCCCCACTCCTGTGCCCAGTAAGGGCTTTGGTCACCAGTGCCCTGACTCAGAGGACTCAGCATGTGCTACAGACTCAGGAGCACATGGTCCCAGGACCTTGATGCTTTTTTGGTGGGGAGAGGGGTTTCAAGACAGGGTTTCTCTGTATAGCCATGGCTGTCCTGGAACCCACTCCGTAGACCAGGCTGGCCTCAAACTCAGAGATCCACCTGCCTCTGCCTCTCGAGTGCTGGGATTAAAGGTGTGGCCACCACCACCCGGCGTCCTTGATGTTGTTTTGTGAATTTAAACTTGAGTTCTTCAGGTTGCTCAGTTCACTCTGAAGCCAAATGTTCCTGAAGGTGCTTAATTTTTCTGGGCTGCCAAGGGAGAGCTGTGGCACATCCTGAGTCTACATTTGGAAGACGCTGGGCCTCAACCACCATGCTGGGCCACCCTGGACCTGCCCCTGCCCTTCTGTAAAGCCCCCATGAGCCCAGGGAAGAAGTGGGGGCCCAGCACTCATAGCAGACATTACTACCTTAGGGACAGGTACACAGACGACTGTAGACAGTGTCACAGTCAAAACCATCTTCCAGCACTTGGGAGGCAGAGGCAGGTGGATCTCTGTGAGTTCGAGGCCAGCCTGGTCTACAAAGTGAGTTCCAGGACAGCCTCCAAAGCCACAGAGAAACCCTGTCTCGGAAAAAAAAAAACATCTTCCACCGGGTGGTGGTGGCACATGCCTTCAATCCCAGCACTCAGAGAAATCCTGTCTCCGGAAAAACACAGCAGACATTACTAATCAATTATAGACGCTCTCTCAAGTTTCATAGTGCCAGGATCCTCTGCAGTCAACCCGAGCAACCAGGAGCAGGCCAGTAAGAAGGACAATAGTTTTGTTGAGACAGGGTCTCGCTGTGTAGCCCAGGCTGGTCTCCAGCTCCCTGCCTTAGCATTCATTTCTGGGACTGGTTTGGATGGGACCCTTTCCCATTTCCCATCCATCCCTTCCAACCCTCGGATGACTGTGGCCCACCCACATGTCAATCATCTGCCCATCCTTTATTACTCCCTGTGGTCCTCCATTTACCTCCTGAGGGCACCACCAGCCACAGGGTCAGAGGTTGACATCCCAGCTGACGCTCCAGCTTGTGTGGCCTTGGCAACCTCTTTGAGCCTCCGCTCCCCACCCCTCACAAGATGAGACCAGTGTCCTCCCTGGGAGGTAATGGGACTGCCTGGCTGAAGGACTCAGAGTGATCTCCTTCTAGGGCCCGTCAGGCATATCAACTGAGGATTCTGTGAGGAGGAAAATAATACAAGCAGTCATTACTTGACCAGATTTTATTTTGGCCCTCGTACCCTGTCCATGACTGATGTCTCTTAGCCCTAGAGTCAGCTGGACTTGATCTTTGTGCTTTGGGAAAAGTGGGCATCTCCCTCCCTGCCCCCACCTTCTGCCCCGTACCTTTAGAGTTTGTAAACCCAGACTAAGTCTATGCCTCAGCCCTCCAGCAGTAAGTCCTGAGCCCCACCCAATGGGAGAGTGAAAAGAGTCCCCAGAGACTTCAGGGGACAGAGTGGCAGGTAAACGCCAAGTCAGCTAGGCGTCAGTGTGTCTCCTGCTAGGGCTGGGCTCCCTGGGGACAATTCCATCCCTTCCAGCCAGCCAACAGTAACAAGGAGGGGGTATGGATACCAAACTTGACTGCTGAAAAAAAAAAAAAAAAGACAAATGCAACGCCTTATATACTTCAAAGTAAAACCCACAGACAAGCCCTGACCCCTGAGCCAGCAGGGAGTCAAGAGGCTTGGTGGCAGATGCACCTTCAGATCCCCAACCCAGAGCCTCCCGGGATAGAGGATCAGGGCTAGGGTGAAATCTGTCCACCTGATGCAGAGATTGCAGTGTCAGTGTCCTCCGGTCCCCAGGGCAGGGCACTGAGGAGGACTGTAAACGAGACCCAGGTGGGGCAGGTTGTCCTGCCCAACACTCTGGAAGAGAGCCAGCACTGTGGTGAGAGTGGACCCAGCAGGGAGGGCCCACGGGTTATCTGGGTGTCGGGAAGCAGCTCATGGGCTGTCCCCCTGCAGGCATGGAGTCAGCCGGAGGCGTCTGTCTCCTCCAGGTAAACCTTCGAGGAAGCTAGGCCACAGCCCGGGATTGGAGGTCAGGTGGCTCTCAAAGGCCCTGCAGAGCCAAGGCTGGACAAAGTCCTGCCTCAGCTGGTTCCAAGCCAGGGGACTTGGGGACCTATCCAGTTTAAGCTCCGCCTTCTGCCTGCTGCCTCAGGCCCACGTGAGCAACCCAGGAAGCAGCTGCCAGGCCCAGGCCTCCCGATCCTTGTGAGGCACTGCACCAGGTAGACTCTGGGCCCCATGGGCCTGTGGCCAGCTCCAGGGCTGTCCTGGGGCAGAGTTCTCTAGAAACCAGTTCCTTGAACTCTTGAAGCATGTTGAGGCCCCAGGTTCTTCGTAGCAGTAATTGCCACTGACCCCAGAGGTCTCGTCTCCTAGGTCACATGTCCTGTGTCCCCTGGAAGCCTGGCTCGAGTCCAAGCTGTACTGTACTTAGGGTCCTCTGAACTCAGCCTCTCCTCACAGCCAGCAGGCCCCTTACGGCTGGTCCTGGGTATGAGTCCCACCAGAGCTAGAAGGATGCCAGACCTCCAGGCCGGCTAGGCCAGCCTGGCCTCCACGCCACTGGCTCCTTAGGGCCTGCACCTCCAGTCCATATCGCTCATGCAGCTGTGCAAAGGATGCCAAGGGCCCATTGGGTGCAGAGGCCCTGCGACGGGGTGGCAGCGGTGGGCGCTGGGGGGCTGCAGTGGGTTTTTCGGGCAGCACGCTCCACGCTGCCCGGCCATTCTCCTTGGGTCGCAAGTTCGAGACTGGGCTTGGGCTGGTGGGCAAGGCGTTGGCAGGGCTTCTCTCCCGCATGGCGGCCAGCTGCTGCTCCAACTCATGCACCACCAAGCGCAGGTAGTGGAAGCTGGCTCGAGACAGCGCCTTCACCCAGCCCTCCAGGGCTGCCTGGCTGTCGGCTGCCAGCACATAGGGCCGAGAACGACCACTGGCAAAGCGCACGGCAAAGGCAAACTCTTCCCGGGCATCCACCAGCTCCACCGTGCAACCCTCCAGCAGGATGACGCCCAGCGGCTCTCGGCTGGCCTCCGACTCGAAGTAGAAGAGCATGTTGCCACGAAGCACGAACCAGCGCCGGTGCGAGCCTGCCCCGCGCGCACCGCGCTTGTGCAGGAAGCCAGCATTGTCTACCGGAGCGTCGCAGGTCGCGTAGAAGGCGAGGCTTCGCTCATTCAGCTTCATGGCCGCAAGACCTGTGCTTGTCCCCTGCACCAGAGCAGATGTTACTCCTAAGATCACCAACTCCGGGACCACCAGCTGCCACCTTCCACAACCCATTCCAGGCCCCCAGTGAGCCAAGACTCGAACCCAAGTCTCACACGGCCACTCGGAGCCCTCCTGCTGCCCTTTGACTCAGGAAAGAACATTAGGCATTCAGAACTCTCTGGACACTTAGCACAGGTTAGCGCCATCTGGCAATGGTTGCATCCATGTGTAGCTGGGGAAACAGAGACACTCGGAGGAAACAGTCACAAAAGCCAAGGTCACAAAACAAGTTGGCTAAGCCGGGCGTTGGTGGCGCATGCCTTTAATCCCAGCACTCGGGAGGCAGAGGTAGGCGGATCTCTGTGAGTTTGAGGCCAGCCTGGTCTACAGAGCGAGTTCCAGGACAGCCTCCAAACCCACAGAGAAACCCTGTCTCGAAAAACCAAAAAAAAAAACCAAGTTGGCTAAAGCCTTTGCTGGTCCCTGGAGGTCCCAGCTCTGTGACTCAGCCTCTGTAGATCAGGCTGGTGAGAGAGGGAGCCATGAAGATGGAGGAACCGTGAACACAAAGGCCCTGGGGTGAAAACCTACTGCTTGGAGGCAGGGAGTCAGAGGGGGAATACCCTCAGAGTGGCGAAGCTTTGCTAGAAAATAACCTAGATAAAATATGGGCTTAGCCCAGACTGACAAGGAGGGAGGGGCAGAGCACACAAACATATGCCTCCCAAAAAGTACACATGGGACAGCGGTAGGTACTGGGACTTATCGGGAGGTGTCACCCAGGTTATTAGTGTGGCCACTTGGAAGAGGTCCTGCCCCGTCACAGCCTCGCCTTGCTCTCAGAAGGCAGCCATACTTTTCAGGAGACTCACGCAAAGAGCCTGGAATGCCGTAGGCACTCAGCTAACGTCCACCCCTTCTGCCTGGTGGCAGGCACTTACCCGAAGTCAGAAGGAATGAGGTCTGGGTGGTGGCTCTGTGAGGCCAGGCTGGGCCACCTGACAGGTGGAGGGACAAACGACTGCCAAACAACTACTTGTTTTCATGCCACTTCATGCCACCCACACTGCAGCCAGGGGCAGCTTCCTGCTGAGCTAGAGACTGAGACTTGCTTGTCCCAGCAAGGGGGCTGGGGTGTCAGCCCCGAAGGCTGTAGTGTATTTAGGGCTCACTCTGCCTCCCTGTGCTTTGTGGCTTTTTAAATCAGTTGTGTCCCCTCTCTTTTTTGGGACAAGATCTCTGTGTAGCCCTGGCTGTCCTGGAACTTACTCTGTAGACCAGGCTGGCCTCACACTCAGAGATCCGCCTGCCTCTGTCTCCCCAGTGCTGAGATTAAAGGCGAGCGCCGCCGCCACCACCCGGCCCAGCTGTTCCTCTCTAAGCCAGTCTCTCTGCATAAGCGACTTCCCGAGACAGCTCCTTGTGCCCACCGTGCTCCGCTCACTGGGTTCACAGGTCAGCTCGGTCCCCAGGCTGGGTCACCTCTGTGCACACAGTCAGCCTCTCTGGACCTCTAGTTCTTCATCTATAAAATGAGAACAAAACTGTCTAAGTCAAGGTTATGGTAATGAGTCCGGGATCCAGGCCCTCTGCCACGGTCGGTCGCCGTCAGCAGTGTACCTGGCCTCCCTCTAGTCGGTCCTGTCTCAGAGAATAACCCCTGGTGTCCCTCCCACCTCCGTGTCTGAGTCCCTGAGGCCAGGTGGGCCCCCTCCCCCACCCTCCCTATCTCTAGGTCCCCATCTCTGTTTGCTGCAGCCACTGCAGGAGGCTCTACAGCTGTCTCCTGCCTTCACCTTTGCCCCTTCCTATCTGGCCACCTCAAGGCAAGAACACCTCCCTGGGGCCCTCCCCTGGGCACAAAGGGACCTCTGCCTGCCTTTGTCACAGACCTCAGCCACTCTGGCTTCCTTTCTGTCCCTCGAATGCACCAGACATTTCCCTGCATCGGGACCTTTGCCCTGGCTGTTGCTCTCTGCCTGGGGTGCCCTTCCCCACCACTGCCTGGGGGAGGCACCCTCCAACCTCGAGAGACCACCAGGTATTCTACCAACTACACCCCAGCTGAAGATTACCTGGGTCACTCATGCCTGCTCCAGGAGGGGAGGGTTCTCCTGTCTGGATTTGAGAGCCCAATGTGTAGCAGGTACTCTTGGGAGCCTACAGGACAAAGCAAGGCTTTGTCAGCGTGACAGCGCTGTGACAAGGGGTGGTCCCCGTCCCCTGTTCATGATGGGAAAACTGACCTGGCCAAGAAGAGGGTTCAGAGCAAACAAGCACTAACCCTTGGGCACTCTACCCCACTAAGACTGACAACAGCTTGCCCATCAGCCACTCACCCTGACTGCTCAGATGCGGCCACCCTAGATCAAGGTCACTAGCAGACAGAAAGCCCAGCCAGGTCCTTGACCCTTGCCTGCTCCAGCTAAGCAAAGAAAATGAGGCTGAGACACAGTCTCTAGCTTCCCCGGGAGGGAGCAACTGCTCCCCATTTTCCAAGCACCCTGCTCTCCCTCAAGTTCAGAGGCTGCAGAGGGCACCGCACTAATGAATCATCAGGACCTACGCACCATGCTTTAGGAACCAAATTCCTGTGCAAGTTGGTCCAGGGTGGAAGACCAGTTGCCTCAGCGGGCTTCAAGGAGGCTCAGACGGCGAAAACAAGGAAAGTCTGTGACAAACTATCGAAAAAGTATTCTAAAGTAGGCATAGCACCCAACGTGGTGGCTCGCACCTGTCATTCCAGCACATGGAAGGCAGAGGCCAGCCTGAGCTACACAGCAAGACCCTGTTTGAAAACAAAATTAAAAAAAGATACATGCCGGGTATGGTGGCGCATACCTTTGATCCCAGCACTTGGGATGCAAAGGTGGGTGGGATCTCTGTGAGTTGGAGGGCTAGCCTGTTCTACATACCTGAGCTACACAGTCTCAAGACCCTGTCTCAAAAACAACAACAAAACCCATAAAAAGACAGGGCTGGCAAAACAGTTCAGCGGGTAAAGACGCTTGCCGCCAAGCCTTCTGACCTGAGTTCAGTGACCAGAAACCACATGGAAAAAGCAAAGAGCCGACTCCTGCAAGTTGTCCTCTGACCTCCACACACGCGTACACATAAATAAAAATAAATATCAAAAATTTAGGCCAAGTGATGGACCCACCATTCGAGGGATCATCGCTGGCTCCAGAGCTAGGACTCGAGGGAAACTGAGGCAGGGCACCACCGCAGAACCGCAAGCTTGGGCGGTGTGCGGCCGGGCCGCGATGGAGGCCGCGGGCGGGTCCCGTGCGATGGCCGCGCGGATCCCGTCCCCGTCACTGTCCCCGCCCACCCGGTCTCACCTGGCTGCGGATCTGGCGCGAGGGTCTATCCGTCCCATGGCCCGGAACCGCTTGATGGGCTGCTGCGAGCGGGCGCTTTGTCTCCCCGCGGCCGAGCTGCGGCGACCCGTGGTCGCCCCTTTAACCCTGAGCGGCCCCGCCCTGAAGGGGCCCGCCCTGAGCCGTATACGCCCGCCCATTGGCCAGTCCCCACAGGCCCCGCCTCCGGATTCGCCACGCCTCCACGCGCGAGCCTGAAAACCACTCTTAAAGGGACCTTGCTGGTGTCAGGTGTCGCCAGAGTTCTGTCCTAGAAAAACGGAGAATTTGAGCCGAGGAAAAACAAGTGCAGCTTCAGAAGGTAACATAAAGCTTGCGAGAAGGTTCAGCGGATGGAGGCGCTTGCCGCCAAATCTGAGGACCTGCGTGCAGTCTCTGGGACCTATAATGTGCAAGGCTCCAGAGAACTGACTGCCACAAGTTGCCCTCTGACTAAGGCACAAGTGTGTACACACACAAACACACAGAAACGTAAGAAGAACTGGGTGTGCTAGTGCAGACCTTTAATACCACCACTCAGGAGCCAGAGGCAGGTGGATCTCTGTGAGTTCAAGGCCACTTCCAGACTCGCGGGGACTCCCATAAGGAGACCCTGTCCTTAAAAGAAAAAAGATAAAACCGACACGGGTGTGTTGTTGTAAATGTGCAGGACACCAAGCCATCTACACACTTGCCCCAGGTAGTGAGGGAAAGTTCTAGAAGTGAGCAGAGTTGGAGGTCCACCGAACCATTACGCCTCTGTGTGCTCTCCCAACAGTGTCTCGGCATCTCTGGACTTCCACGTCTTGTCCGTAAAATATGAAGACAAGTGTAATGTTTAAAGGGTGTGGCCCAACTGCAGGCGTTCTCAGTAGGAATTGCTGGAGTTTCCTCCTCTTCCCAAAATAACACGATTCCACCTCCCAGAATCCTTCACTTCCTGTTCTTTCTGCCTCCTCCTCACTTCCTCCTACCCCGGGACCTCTTAGCCTGAGGACAAGAATGAAACAGGACTGACAAGGATCCCTGCTCCTTTCCACACCCTCTCACCGGCACCTACTGTGTGCAGCTTGATCCAGAGAGAAATAGCCAGGAGTCAGTCAGCAAACAGTTCTAAAAGTGCGAGCAAGAGCATAGGCATGAGTGGGAGGCAGGGCACCGGTAAGACAAACCCTCAGGAGCTGCCACTGCGCAGCACTGACTTAGCAGGATGTGTGAGAGTCTTGGGAGACCCGCAGGAAGGGTGTCCCCCAAACAGCAAATCCAACGGGCCCCGAGCAGTGCAGTGTGCAGGTAGAGGAAAAAGATGTTAGAGCTGCGGGCTTTCACTGGGCCACATTGCATAGGACCCTGTGAACTTGGGGAAAACTTTGCCTTCAGGCATGCATGGTAGCACACACTTGTAATTCCAGCAGCTAGGAGGCAGAGGCAGAAGGGTACCTGCCGAGCAGTAACTACATAGCAAGACCTTGTCTCAAAAAAATAAAAAAAAATTGATGTAGTTGACCAGGTTGTCCTCAAACTCACAGAGAGCATCTTGTCTGCCTCCCAACTTGGGGGGATGCCTGGCCTGTGGAGGGTTTTGATCCGGGATGCAATCTTTAGGGGCCTTGGAGGCCAAGCATGAGTGAGCCTTCTGCAGTGATCTGAGCAAGCGGTGGTGGTAACTTGGGGGCAGCGGGACAGCAGAAGTGGGGAGTGGGTAAATTTCGTGTCTGCTTTTGAGGTGTCGGCACAGTTTGTTGATGCCTTCCGCGTGGACAATGAGACTCAGAGAAGGAGTTAAAATGAATCCAAGTCTTTGGGCCTGAGAAATGGATAAGATGGGAGAGCCTGGAGGGAAGGAAGAGTCTAGAGTCGCGGTCGCCAAACGTAACTGGGGCCAGCAGGGATCCACGGTGAAAAATAAAGCCCACTCCCTCACACCACAGACTAAGGCTGATGCCAAACAAACCTTCCTGAGGCGGGGGAAGGGAAGTCCTTAACTGTCCACTCAATAGTCAGTTGTAGATCAGTCATCAATCAGTCATCAGCGGTCCTCAGTCTGTCCTGTCGGTCAGCAGTCACTAAGTCTGTCATCAGAAGTCCTCAGTCATCGTCACTCTGCCTGTCAGTCAGTCAGTCGTCAGTCAGTCTAGAGGTCAGTTGTCAGTTTTCAGAAGTCCTTCATCTGTCAGTCATCAGTCAGTCTGATCCCAGCCTAGACTGACCCCAGGATCAGTTCCCAGCACCACTACAAAAGGGAGACTTAGTCCTCACTCCCCAGCCCTAGCCGAGCTCAAATAATGCTCTGTCTCTGTGGATTCCACATGTGGATTTGCAGACTCCGCATTATCCATTCCTCTCCATCCATTTCACTCCCCAGGGCTCAAGGCCGTTTCACGCGGCCCCCGAAGTTGGCACCTCCATCCTTTTCACTACTGAGTAGCGGCTCATCACTGGCACGGGATGCGCTTTGCTTCTCTGCCCATGAGGGGCCTTAGGCTGTCTCCAGCCGTGAGTGGCCAATACGTTTGTGGCTGGGGTTGAGGATGGGTGGAAGGGATTATGAATCAGGAACACCAGAAAGGGGAATTTGGGAACCTCCACTGGGCTGTTTCCACGGATATGGTTTTGCCTCCAAACCACGTCTCAAATCCAGCACGCCCCGTCTCTGCAGCCACTTCCCCATCTCGACACCGTCATCCCTCTTCAGGGCACCAAGGTCCTTCAATTCTCCTCCTCCTCCTCGGACCAGCAGATCTCCACCAGGAGCCTCAGGGCTCCTTTTGAAGCTTGCCTCAGAACAAATCCTGCCATTCTCTTGGTCAGAGGCATCATGGCTCCTCATCACCTCAGGACCAAGTCCAGAGGGCCCCCGCCAGCCACACAGCCCTCCTTGCACTGGCCTGGCCACTCCTCCAGCCACCTCACACACTGTTCCCTTTCTCCCTTCTCCTGCCCGCTGCTACCTGCCCTACCTGTGCTCCAGACCTCTTCCTGTCTGCTGTTCCAGGAGACTCCCCACATCCTCCAAGACTTGGCTGCCCATTCTGATGCCTGAGGCTTCACTGGGCTGCTTCCTCTTCAAAGGGGCAGATGACTCTGGCCCTTTGTACTGAGCTCAGTACCTTCCTTCCTTCCGGTCATTCACTCAGTCAGTAGCATTTAAAGAGCTGCTGTCCCAGGGACTCATAAAATAAGTTAAAAACAAAAACAATAAGGGCCGGGTGGTGGTGGGGCACACCTTTAATCCCACCCAGCACTTGGGAGGCAGAGACAGGCAAAGGCCAGCCTGGTCTACAGAGTGAGTTCCATCCAGGGATACACAGAGAAACCTTTGGGGGAGACTCATTCCAATGCAAGACGATGTCCTGGCTGGTTTTATGTCGACTTGACATGAGCTAGAGTCATCCGAGAGGAGGGAACCTCACCTCAGTTGAGAAAATGCCTCTATAAGATCCAGCTGTGGAGGAGCTGGAGAGATGGCTCAGAGGTTAAGAGCACTAACTGTTCTTCCAAAGGTCCTGAGTTCAATTCCCGGCAACCACATGATGGCTCACAACTACCTTGAATGAAATCTGGTGAATAAATTAATTAAAAAGAGTTATTTATATATAAAAGATCCAGCTGTGGGGCATTTTCTTATAGTGATCAGTTGGGGAGGGCCCAGCCCATGGAGGTGGCGCCATCCCTGGGTGCTGTAAGAGAGCAGGCAGTGGTGGTGCACGCCTTTAGTTCCAGCACTTGGGAGGCAGATCTCAGTGAGTCCGAGGCCAGCCTGGTCTACAAAGCAAGTTCCAGAGAAACCCTGTCTCCAAAAAAAAAGAAAAAGAAAAGAAAGAAAGAAAGAAAGAAAGCTGAGCAAGCCATGAGGAGCAAGCCAGCAAAAGCATCAGCTCCTGCCTCCAGAATCCTGCTCTGCTTGAGCTCCTGCCCTGACTTCCTTCAGTGATGGACTAAGATATGAAAGTGTGAACACAGTCAACCCTCCCCTTCCCAGCCTTCTTCTTTCTGTGGTGTCTCCACTGCAGCCCCTGTGTGGGACAGGAGGGTGCTATTCACTCCCTCAGTTTACAGATAAGGATACTGAGGCTTAAGGAGGTCACAGACCCCAGGCTGTTTTCACAAGCCTGGGTTTGGGTCATCAGCTTCCAACACTGCTGGGGTCTGGCCTGTATCAGTCCTGCCCTACAGGGGTCATCTATCCTGGACTGATGTCTTTGGGGCTGTGTTTGGGACCAGCTGAACAGCCCTGGGACTGACCCTGAGTAGAGGAGTGTGGATCAGGGAAGTCCTAGCTACCCAATGGTGTTAAGAACGAGACAGAGACATCTTGTCATTTCAGGAGGGCTCTCAGTCCATACTGGAGATACCAGTTTATTCAAGCATCCTCTTAAATAGCTTTCCAAAAGCAGGGGTACTGGCAGAAGACATCTATTATCATGTACCTAGGACTGACTAGGAAACACTTCCTTTAACCCTAGAGATGGTCCTAGAATGCATGTGCACAGGTCCTCAGACTCTCTGTAAAAGCATGTCTCACCAGTCCTCAGGCATGTCCCAGTAGCCCTCATAATGCACCTGTGGCCTAAGTCTATTGTCACACAAACTAGAAGTCATTCTCCACTGTGGCCAGGCCATCTGGAGGTAACCAGGAAGATTGATAGCATCAAGCAGCATTTATGCTCTCACGGCTGCAAAAGATCTCCTGCAAAAAGGAGTGGATGAACCTAGTCAAAATGGCATTTTGAAACTGCGGTGGGAATGTCTCAAGTGCCTCTTGTTATGTCAAAGTCTAAATCTGCCTTTCTAAACATCTTTTATTCTATACGCTACATATCACATTCCTGTTAGAATGAGCTCTGACCTCTAGTCCCCATAAACACTTGCGTAGCATAGCAAAGGTTATAAACATTAACAATTCCAATATGAGTATTGACCATGAATATACATTTAGGTGGGTTACAATTCAATCAAAGGACAATAAAAGGTTCTGGCAATGGGTGGAGTGTGAACAGACTCCCATAATTCTGAACTTTTTCCTTGTTTTCTGTCTAAAGTCTAATGTCTTGTGAACTTTTTTCCTTCCTATCTAGAGTCCAGTGTTTTATGAACTTTCTCCTTTTTTTGTCTGTCCTTGAATGTT